GGGGTTGATTTTGTTCCACGCTGTGCCATTTATTTTTGAATCATTTGGTAGTAATCCAGCAGTTCTTGACATCTCTAAAACAACAAAACCGTCAGGTTGAGTTTTCGAAGCATTCATTTTTGTTTTTTTTTAAATCAGAGTTAACCAATTTTGAATCATAGCTTTGCCTGCTTGTATGCCTGCGGTGATTTTAATACCAATAGGAGTAGTTTATCTGCTTTTAGGAGGGCCAGACCAATCACACAGCGGCATTTTTTATCATACGTGACTAAATATGAATATTTTTACTGTGGACTTTGAAATTATCGCGACTGAATAACAGTCGTGATTGCCTGGCGACTAATGACAAAACACTCAGTTCTTAGTAAAAACAACAGCTGGATACACAAAAATAAAAATCCGAAAAAAGGAAAAAATTGGAAAGCGAGGTAGCAGAAAATCACTTTTGATGATCCTCATTTGACAAAATGGAATTAAATCGAGAAGGTCAAGTTTTAAAACCTTTTGTTGGCGTCACGAATCCTATTTTTTTAAATTTCTTTTTTAATTTAACAATTTGCCAAAGGTAGGTAAACTTACAATAGGACAAGTTTGTCCCCTACCTGGTAAATTACCTTTCTCTAACCCCTACAAACAGACAAAATTGAAACCCAACCGACTTGTAAGCCCCCATGCTAGGAAATAACAACATATATAATCATTGACGAAAGAGAAAAAGAAAAAAAAACTAGTTGATTAACATGCACAAAAATTAAGAGCATTGGAACGACGAGGGAGAGGGAAGAAATTACAGGCCTTTCTGATCAATCCTCTCTGAAATCCTTAGAGAGGATAGCATCCACTGCTTCCTAATCTTATGTGTTCAATCAATGGTTAATGATTATCAGGGATAAAAAGTGTTGCAACAGATTAAGGTTTTATGGATCAATGTGTCAGTTTCTGAGTAACTGCGCACCTGCTTGTCCTCTAGCCCAACAACAGCTGACTTGAAGTTAGTCAGGGTCAATATTAGGTCAGGGAAGAGGTGGCTCAGATACTGCTCAGATAAGCTCAGATATGCTGAGGTACTGCTAAGATACACACAGATATGCTGAGATACTGACATTGATCTGGTTTTTTTTTTATAGCAAGCTTGCTATTAGTTTACTGATTTTGTAAAGACTCGCCTTGTGCTTGCGCTTGTGATTTTCTAACTTTCCTGTTGTTTGCTCAAAGTTCTTCTTTGGTTTTGTGTGGGAAAAGTGTGCCCTTTTGAGTAACTTGCTTTAATAACACTTTAACTCCCAAGATCTCATTAGTAATTCTCCTAACTGTCTGCTATACAGATCTTGTTTTGTTAGTTTGGAGAATTTAGTATTGAATCAACTTACAGTCCCTAATTTAAATTTTTCTTTATTCTTATCACTTGTCTGCTTGATATTGTATTAATATTGTAAGGAGAAATTCTATCTTGGTCACTCATGGGAGTTAAAGGGTTAAGTAGATCTAACTGGCTCCTTTTTTAACAGACGTTTCTGAAATTCACTTAACATTTAAACACATGCACCATGTTATTAATTATTCACTTCCATTCAAAATACCGAAAGGACTTATTTCTTCATCTTTTAGCGTTCATAATAGATGAACACCAATAAGAGTTAATCTTTTTTATTTGCAAACAACAACAACAACAACACTTGATTAATAACTCTTTGCTCAAAGGCTTGTGTTTACCATCAAAAGGAATTGCAAAATCCCCCTTTAAGACCTAAATGTAGTGCAATAGCTCAAGAATATTCTAGAACTTAATAGTCACGCAACAACTAAGGAATGTTTGAGGTCACCACAATCTCATGCCCAGTGGAATTTCAATAGCACCAACTATAACGTTAACAAACTTCAGTGCGGTCAAAAGACTGGCACCAAGACCAACTCTACTGCCAATCTCACCTAAGTAGGGAAGAGATGAAAGAAAGTCAAAGAGCACTGATATGAAATGAACATTTATGACTTTGACTTTCTTACCAATAAAATTTCCATTTAAGCTTTCTCAAGTGCATTTATACAGTTGAGAGTTGGTTGAGGACTATGTTAACTGACATCTTTCAATCTATGATGATATACAAGTCATTTTGATAAATTGTGATAACGGGGCTTCTCTTGTTTTCTGCTGTGCAAAAGCTAAGAAAGGTGTCATATATGATCCAAATATTTCTTTGAAATTGAAAAATATGCAATACAATTATTAATAGCAATTCTATTTAGAGAAGAAATCTGCCGACCGGAAAGCAGGAAATCGCAGGAAACCGCAACATTGGGGAGGGGTTGGTGCGCAGCTGCTCAGAAACAGTATGGAGATAGTAGCTTGGCAAAACAAAGAAAGGAAACAACAAAGTGAGTTACTGGATGCGAAAATAACAACATCAGCAGCAAATAGCGACAGTAACAGGTTTTAAGCCCGCAAAAAGAGACCAAAAAATTTGCGTTTCAAAACTAAAAACAACTGTCCTGTGATCGCATGTTGGTTTTTCGTTCCAAAGACAGCTGTGCATTAATTAAGTGTCGTCGATTTGATGACCCGCAAGGTGAAGAAATTGTGTAGGGTTCGAGATTGTATAATTGCGTAACCTTTTAGCCTTTAAGAGTGACTAGCATCTAATTTCTCCTTACTATATCAGCACTGAATCAGACATGAAGTTATGAGAATAGAGGAGATGATCACCAACTAAAGCAACTCTTGACTGTGACACAAATTCTCCTTGTCAGCCTCTTTGGAAATGTATGGGGAACAGTAGGGAGAAGATGCATACTGATGTAAGGGGTAAAGGGTTAAAAATGCTCTCAGTTGAAACAGTACCTTGTATTATTGACTTAAAATACTAGTTAAAAAAAGCTGACCGCTCCCATTTACTTTAGCCACAGACTTTCTGATTATGTTAAAGTTGCAGATGGTCACGGATGGAAAATCCGTGATGGCGTCGTGTTTCGAACTGACTTCAGTCGTGACCGGGTAGTTGAAATACTTCTTTAGCAACATAAATGTCTGAAATGAAAAGCACGACATTGCTTGCAAAAGAAGCACAGTCCAGAGGACGCGGTGAATCCATAGTGTTTCGGTAAAAGCGTGTTGTAGACCATGGAAAGTAAAACTGTATAGAAAGTGACTGAATCATTCTCTTATTGCACCTGCCACGGACACGTTTTCGTGACTCTCCGCGTAAAATTCTTGGTCAATTTTGCTGTGCCTACATGCTGTACTTCGTTTTGGATCCTGGTACTGTAATTCGATTTCTGACTTTTCTTGAAACCATATTGCTACTTGGTTGAGCTCTCAGGCCGTTCAGACTTATAATCTTTCAATTATTGGCAAGTAAACAAATCGGTTCGGCAATTTGTTCATTATTTTGTAGCTTACTGCACACGTGTCTTGAGTATGACTTTCTGAATGAAAAAATTCGCAATTGCCCGTTGCTATTTAACTTCGTTCGACACCAATTCTCCTCCTGGAGTGGAAAGTAGAAATCCGAAAAAAAAGACCTCAAAGAAAGGTAATTGTGCCAAACCTGTAGTTAAAAGTTTTATTAAAATCATGACAGTGGAAATAGAGATAAAAAGAAATGTTGACAAAATCAATTGAATCAATTGAATCAATTTCAATTAAATTCAAATTAACATTTTCAAAACACTTTCAACTGAAATGCTCCAGAACAGCAAAGGCTCTGAAAAACTATTCACATTTCCTCTGTTTGTTCAAAAAAGCTAGCCGTTCACAGGGGCTAACATTTGCGTGGATGCTTACTTTTTGAAATTAAAGTCGTTCACCGTTGTGGAATAATGATAATGAGCCTGAAAAAAGAGGCATATGGGAGTTTTACCAAGTCTATTCAATGTTTTCTTCTCTACTGGAACAAATTTTCTTATTGGCTTCTTTTCCCTTTACTTTCAAGATTCCCGAAATTGCAACAGAAGTGCAAATTAAACTGGTTCCTAACTGGTAACTTTGGATTTTAAACCTTAGACAATTCTCCACCCTTAAGATTAAGAGGTTGCATTTGTATCTTTTCTGTTTTGAAGGCACTTGAAAGATTTGAAGGAGGCCTACTTTGGGACCTTAAGTCGCCGTAACTTTAGGCGACTTAAGGCGACTTTAGCAAAATTGGCACAAAAACTATTGCGACTTTAGGCGATTTAAGGCGACTTAAGGTCTCAGAGTAGGCCTTTACATTCACTAATCACAATGACATTTTGTCATGATGTTTTAGCAGGAGGAAAATGCCTACCATCCATAATGTGAACTTTATATTGGCATTCTGTAATGGTTCAATTGTAGGGACTAATCTTTCTCCTTTAATCTCATATGCACAGCCAGTGGTTATTCAGTTCTTCGCAATCAACCTTAGCACCTCGCGTATGAATAACAAATTGATATGAACGATATCCTAAACTCAAACAAACTTATTAGCAACTCCGCAGAGAACATGTTACTAAGTTAGTGCAAATATTAATAGAACCTCTCTTTAAACAACTAGTCTTGTATTTGAATACAGAAGTGACTTCATAAAACTACTTCCTATCCAGTCTCTCCAACTACTTTTCTAGCTGCAGAAAACTATGATTGAGGTGGAGTGGATAAGGTCAATTGGGAAGGGTTGAACCCTTATAACATTGTGTAACCAATAGAAACCTAAGGAAACTTAAGGTGGCTTAAGGTGACTTTAGGCGACTTAAGGCGACTTAAGGTGACTTAAGGCGACTTAAGGCGACTTAAGGTCTCAGAGTAGGCCTTGAAGGCGCTCTTTAGAATACTTTTTATTTGGGGGAGACATGGCACAGTACTTAGTACTGAAGAATTTTGATGCTGTTGACAGTCTCTCCTTTGCTCTCTTCTCTTTCCACTTACACAATTTGATTTTGCTTTGCATCATTAGCATCTCATTCAATTCCTAACCCATATACAACACAGATCTATGGAAAATGTTTTAGTCTAAAAAAAGGAAACATGTTCTGAAGTGAAAAAGTGTTCATCTCAACCCCATTTGTATTCTTACGATACCAAGTATGACGTCACAGAACTCAAGCACGGTCAGGAGACTGGCACCGACACAAAGACCAACTTGACCGCCGATTTCGCCTGAGAATAAGAAAAAGAGACAATTTATTCACGTGAAAGAAATCTGCGTGACAGCAAAGGCTCGAGATGATGTACCGGGGCTTTAGCGTGAAATTTCAGCAAATGGCGTCTTTATGAGTAACGGAGTGCAGTAGAAGCACAAGTTTAAATACAAAATAGACACTTATCCTTAAAGATTAAGAAGAAAGTTGATGTTTACATATGAAGAGATGAACTTACCTAACAAACTTTCCAATTCATAGGCCGGTGTTTCCTCAATAACCTGGTAATTCAAATCCTGGAAATAAACACGCAGCTCTAGAAAGTTCTGCCTGTAAAAATAAAATTACTTATTGAATTATAAAGAATAAGGTGGATTCAGTTCAATCAAATGAGTTTATAATAGAAAAATAGAAATCCATTAATTGATCAAATATCAAAAGGTGATAATGAACAAGTTGTTGACATACAAATTTGCTTAACTTTAAAATTAGGTCAGTCAGCCTGAAAAATAAGAATTCGACCCACACTCAGGAACAACCCACAAAAGTTTTAGTTTTCTGGAATTTTTGAGGTGGACGAGGGGGAAGTCGGAATCGTCGCAGGAGGGGGGTCGGGTTTAAGCCCTACTTTCCACTACTTATTAGACTTGTTCTCTTTGCCTTAAGTTTAACTCCTTGGGTGCGCTATATATATATAGTCAACTGGTATGTTTAAAAGCCCCATTAGGGAAGAGGTCAATTAACATTATCATTATTATCATTGTTAATACTTACATTAGCTGTGATCGCGACACAAAATTTTTTATCTTTTTTTTCCTCAAGATCGAGTTTACAGGAAAAGTGAGTAGTTACAATCAGAGTTTATCTTTACCGTATATATATAGTGTCCATAAACGTTAGGCTTTGTCCAACAAACTTAATTTACATACGATTACCTTAACCATTGTTGTGTTTGTTTGATTTTTTCTGCTGTCCAGTAAGTGTTATTCTCCCCTGCTTTGAAAAACCGCGACAAATATCCTACGCTAGGGAACGCAGCGTATGACAAGTAGGGTTCATAGGAAATCGCACCACAGGGCACTGGACAATCACACTGATTTTTCTTTAAGGTTTGAAAGGTAGCTGGAATATGAAATAATGAGGAGGTAATGGCATCAGGTTGCTCAAATATTAGAAATACATCATAAAGCCCTGGGCGGATAACGCTATCCAGCGAAAAAGTGTATCAAACCAAAAAAAAAAAAACAGGCGTGCTGCGCTATCCAGCAAATGAAGATTTATCCAGTGGATAGTGAACAACCGAGGCCAGAAGTAAATTGGAAACATATATGATATACACGAACCTTGAGCTTTAAGAAGGCAAGTCAACTCTTTTTTGGTTTTGCAGGGTTTGGTGCCGTTGAGTCCTGTTGAAACAGGATGTAATTAAAGTATTAACGGTGCGAACTTATGGCACTAGCTGGTGCATGAACAGCAATGTGTTGAATTACTAAAGGCACGCTAGCACAACGAATGTGAAGCGGATAAGTTAATTGAATAGTTATGAGTTGCCCTCACGATTAATTCTTTACTTTTCAAAGTTCCTAGTTTCACAACGGTGGAGAATACGTCATTTTCCCCTCTCTTTATGTTGTCTTCCTCACTATTTCGTACCAACCAAAAACTCGTCTCGAGCTTAAAAAGTTTTCAGAAGTCTATTAAGGGTATGATTTAGGTATAAATTTCATACATTTTTCAAATGCCACTACTTTGGTTTAAGGTCTACTCAACTTTTCAACCTTGCAGAGAGAATTCCAAGCAGTCTTATCACCCTCTTGACCAAATTTATTTAACGTCAGCTCTTCATTGCAGACAGGAAAGTATCAGTTCGGGGATTACTTTCTTTCATGAAACGTTAGCAAACTTCCAGAAGATTTCTGAGTGAAATCCCTCCCCTCCCTCCCCTCCTCCCCCCTTGAATGTCAATTTGTAAGTGTATTATCGTTCCAAACGAGAAATTACAAAGGTAAGCTCAATAATTAAGAAGAGTATCATTTGAAAACTCACCAGACATTTCCATGTTTCTACAACCGCATTCTTTTATCAAAGACCTGGTCTCACAGAGCGACAAACATGATGAAATTGTGTACGTCGTGTGATCAGTTATGGCATCCATCTTTCCATCGTAGCAGTTGCTTTCGTACGGTTTTGGGAGATTTATAACCTTCAACAAGTAGACGGAGGGATGGTAAAGCTCAAGGATTATTTTGTAGAACGAATTGATTTTTTGTTTGACTTATGATTTGATACAACAAACTCGAGCCTTAAGTGATCCAAGGGCCCTCTTTGAGGCAGACCAAAAGCTTCCATAAGACATTTAAAACTGAAACAAAAAAAAAAAAAAAAAGAAAGAAAGAAAGAGAGAAAGAAAGAAAACCTCGAGGTGTTTCAGATTGGAAAAGGGCTGTAGGAAAAGAAGAATTGTTGCCTTTTTTTTTGTCACGTTTAAATACTAATGTGAAAATTGTTTCATAAGCTGTGAACAAGAAATTTCTGAAAGCCATTTTGGATTACCTCTATTTAGTCCACGTATTCATAGTCGTAAGTAACAAATCACTGCTGATTCGAGATGTACTTTTAACAAAGTGATTAAAAAAGAACGATGAGATTGTGTCAAAAAAAAGAAGAAAACGTGGTCTCAGGGGCTTGCTGATCAAGTAATTAATAAACTAAATTAATGATCTGGATTGCAATCGGTCGTAGGACTGTCCCGATTGTGCTCGTAAAATGCTGGAAAGTTGCTCACCGGAATGCTTAAACTATGCTAAAGAGATACCAAATCCAAAAAGTTTCCAGCTGAATTTCTTGATATTCTAATATGAACATTAATTAAGTGCTTTATTTTTTGTTCTTCACAATAAATGCTAACATCGGTCAAGAAAAAACAGCTGGAACCTAGCTTTAAGGAGTTGCTCGCAAATAGGGACGAAATTTAAGGATACTCCAAACGTCAAAGCTTACCCAAAAGTTGCCGAGCACAATCGGGAAAGGCCCATTCGGTTGCTACGGTTATGATATTTACAGAGACCGCTCTCCTTCCTTATATAACTTACCCTCTTTTTTCGTATCCCTGCAAATACACTTGTGCCAGGACCAACAGAAAATCCAAGCCGACCAACTATAGGCAGAGTATTCTGACGATGAACACGTATCTTGAGGCCGGCGCTGATTGCTTGAATTCCAAAATATTCATATTGTTGTACGTTTAGTATCAAAGAAAGTCCAGAGTCTGCTCCTGCCTCATTGACCTTCAGAACACCTTGGCCATCCTTCCCTGAAAAATCTGAGAATCAATCACTCAATCCATCCACCCATTGGTCGGTCCGTCCCTCCGTACGTACGTAAGTCCCTCAACTTATCCATATTAATAATTTATAATCATTTAAAGTAAACAACTTCACCGAACATGAATTTTTCCATCAAACAGTAATCGTAACAGTGATCTACATGGATTAAATCTTTGCGTCTTGGCAAACGTTCCAGATCACTCGGTTGTAATTATAGATCGACTTGAAAACAACAACAAAATAACACAAATTACAGCCCTGATGCTTCGAAAATAAAGCATCTGCATAAATAATGAAGACCTTGGCAGATTCTCAAAGAAAAAAAGAAGGCTTGTTAAGATCAAAAAATCCCAAAACATACCTGAATTAAATGTGTGGCAAAGCCCCATAGAGGTCAAAACTGGAGTGAAATTCCTGTAATCGCAGGTATGTTTACCGTTCCACCGACAAGAATGCATAGTATCCTTGATTTGATGTCCCATCATCGAATAAAATGGTTTTTGTGTTAAGTTGGTTAGTGTGCAAGGTGAAGTCTACATTTTCATATGTAGCTCCACCCAGTCCTAACGAAGTGACAACAAAAAATTTTTAACAACAGAACTTCATATGTGTACCCAGTTGTTGAAGTTGCAAATAGTCACGGCTGGGAAATCCGGCATCGAATCGTATTTCAAACTGACTTTTGTGGTGTTTGGGAAGCTGAAATACTTCTTTAACATGCTGATGGACTGATATGAAAAAAAACGCAATTGCCGTCAAAAGAAACACAGCCCAGAGAATGCGACGAATCCTCGATTTACCGGTAACCACATAAGATAAACCATGAAGAGTTGCATTTTCCACGAAACCATTCCATAGTTGCCTGATTGCAGACATCTTGGACGCATCTTCCCCAGACACGTCGTTACACTCGGGGTTGATTTTGTTCCACGCTGTGCCATTTATTTTTGAACCATTTCGTAGTAATCCAGCAGTTCCTGACATCTCTAAAACAACAGAACCGTCAGGTTGAGTTTTCGAAGCATTCATTTTTGTTTTTTTTTTTTTAAATCAGAGTTAACCAATTTTGAATCGTAGCTTTGCCTGCTTGTATGCCTGCGGTGATTTTAATACCAATAGGAGTAGTTTATCTGCTTTTAGGAGGGCCAGACCAATCACACAGCGGCATTTTTTATTGCGTAACTAAATATGAATATTTTAACTGTGGACTTTGAAATTATCACGACTGAATAACAGTCGTGATTGCCTGGCGACTAATGACAAAACACTCGGTTCTTCGTAAAAACAACAGCTGGATACACAATAATAAAAATGCGAAAAAGGAAAAAATGAAAAGCGAGGTAGCAGAAAATCACTTTTGATGATCCTCATTTGACAAAATGGAATTAAATCGAGAAAAACAGATCTCATTTTAATTTGAGTCATCAATGCTACAGGACTTTTCCAAGGTCAAGTTTTAAAACCTTTTGTTGGCGTCACGAATCCTATTTTTTTAAATTTCTTTTTTAATTTAACAATTTGCCAAAGGTAGGTAAACTTACAATAGGACAAGTTTGTCCCCTACCTGGTAAATTACCTTTCTCTAACCCCTACAAACAGACAAAATTGAAACCCAACCGACTTATAAGCCCCCATGCTAGGAAATAACAACATATATAATCATTGACGAAAGGGAAAAAGAAAAAAAACTAGTTGATTAACATGCACAAAAATTAAGAGCATTGAAACGACGAGGGAGAGGGAAGAAATTACAGGCCTTTTTGATCAATCCTCTCTGAAATCCTTAGAGAGGATAGCATCCACTGCTTCCTAATCTTATGTGTTCAATCAATGGTTAATGATTATCAGGGATAAAAAGTGTTGCAACAGATTAAGGTTTTATGGATCAATGTGTCAGTTTCTGAGTAACTGCGCACCTGCTTGTCCTCTAGCCCAACAACAGTTGACTTGAAGTTAGTCAGGGTCAATATTAGGTTAGGGAAGAGGTGGCTCAGATACTGCTCAGATAAGCTCAGATATGCTGAGGTACTGCTAAGATACACACAGATATGCTGAGATACTGACATTGATCTGGTTTTTTTTTTATAGCAAGCTTGCCATTAGTTTACTGATTTTGTAAAGACTCGCCTTGTGCTTGTGATTTTCTAACTTTCCTGTTGTTTGCTCAAAGTTCTTCTTTGGTTTTGTGTGGGAAAAATGTGCCCTTTTGAGTAACTTGCTTTAATAACCCCTTAACTCCCAAGATCTCATTAGTAATTCTCCTAACTGTCTGCTATACAGTTCTTGTTTTGTTAGTTTGGAGAATTTAGTATTGAATCAACTTACAGTCCCTAATTGAAATTTTTCTTAATTCTTATCACTTGTCTGCTTGATATTGTATTAATATTGTAAGGAGAAATTCTATCTTGGTCACTCATGGGAGTTAAAGGGTTAAGTAGATCTAACTGGCTCCTTTTTTTTACAGATGTTTCTGAAATTCACTAAACATTTAATCACATGCACCATGTTATTGAACATTCACTTCCATTCAAAATACCAAAAGGACTTATTTCTTCATCTTTTAGCGTTCATAATAGATGAACACCAATAAGAGTTAATCTTTTTTATTTGCAAACAACAACAACAACATCACTTGATAAATAACTCTTTGCTCAAAGGCTTGTGTTTACCATCAAAAGGAATTGCAAAATGCCCCTTTAAGACCTAAATGTAGTGCAATAGCTCAAGAATATTCTAGAACTTAATTGTCACGCAACAACTAAGGAATGTTTGAGGTCACCACAATCTCATGCCCAGTGGAATTTCAATAGCACCAACTATAACGTTAACAAACTTCAGTGCGGTCAAAAGACTGGCACCAAGACCAACTCTACTGCCAATCACAACAACTGTCCTGTGATCGCATGTTGGTTTTTCGTTCCAAAGACAGCTGTGCATTAATTAAGTGTCGTCGATTTGATGACCCGCAAGGTGAAGAAATTGTGTAGGGTTCGAGATTGTATAATTGCATAACACTTCAGCCTTTAAGAGTGAGTAGCATCTAATTTCTCCTTACTATATCAGCACTGAAACAAAAATATATCAGCACTGAATCTGAAGTCTTGAGTGTGACTTTCTGAATGAAAAAATTCTCAATTTCCCGTTGCTATTTAACTTCGTTCGACACCAATTCTCCTCCTGGAGTGAAAAGTGAAAATCTCGAAAAAGACGTCAAAGAAAGGTAATTGTGCCAAACCTGTAGTTAAAAGTTTTATTTAAATCATGACAGTGGAAATAGAGATAAAAAGAAATGTTGACAAAATCAATTGAATCAATTGAATCAATTTCAATTTAAATTCAAATCAACATTTTCAAAACACTTTCAACTGAAATGCTCCAGAACAGCAAAGGCTCTGAAAAACTATTCACATTTGCTCTGTTTGTTCAAAAAAGCTAGCCGTTCACACGAGCTAACATTTGCGTTGATGCTTACTTTTTGAAATTAAAGTCGTTCACCGTAGTGGAATAATGCATATGAGCCTGAAAAAAGAGGCATATGGGAGTTTTACCAAGTCTATTCAATGTTTTCTTCTCTACTGGAACAAATTTTCTTACTGGCTTCTTCTCCCTTTACTTTCAAGATTCCCGAAATTGCAACAGAATTGCAAATTAAACTGGTTCCCAACTGGTAACTTTGGCTTTTAAATCTTAGACAATTCTCCACCCTTAAGATTTAGAGGTTGCATTTGTATCCTTTCTGTTTTGAAGGCACTTGAAAGATTTGAAGGAGGCCTACTTTGGGACCTTAAGTCGCCGTAACTTTAGGCGACTTAAGGCGACTTTAGCAAAATTGGCACAAAAACTATTGCGACTTTAGGCGATTTAAGGCGACTTAAGGTCTCAGAGTAGGCCTTTACATTCTCTAATCGCAATGACAATTTCAGCGATGTTTTACCGAGAGGAAAATGCCTACCATCCATAATGTGAACTTTATATTGGCATTCTGTAATGGTTCAATTGTAGGGACTAATCTTTCTCCTTTAATCTCATATGCACAGCCAGTGGTTATTCAGTTCTTCGCAATCAACCTTAGCACCTCGCGTATGAATAACAAATTGATATGAACGATATCCTAAACTCGAACAAACTTATTAGCAACTCCGCAGAGAACATGTTACTAAGTTAGTGCAAATATTAATAGAACCTCTCTTTAAACAACTAGTCTTGTATTTGAATACAGAAGTGACTTCATAAAACTACTTCCTATCCAGTCTCTCCAACTACTTTTCTAGCTGCAGAAAACTATGATTGAGGTGGAGTGGATAAGGTCAATTGGGAAGGGTTGAACCCTTATGACATTGTGTAACCAATAGCAACCTAAGGAAACTTAAGGTGGCTTAAGGTGACTTTAGGCGACTTAAGGCGACTTAAGGCGACTTAAGGTGACTTAAGGCGACTTAAGGTCTCAGAGTAGGCCTTGAAGGCGCTCTTTAGAATACTTTTTATTTGGGGGAGACATGGCACAGTACTTAATATTGAAGAATTTTGATGCTGTTGACAGTCTCTCCTTTGCTCTCTTCTCTTTCCACTTACACAATTTGATTTTGCTTTGCATCATTAGCATCTCATTCAATTCCTAACCCATATACAACACAGATCTATGGAAAATGTTTTAGTCTTAAAAAACGAAACATGTTCTGAAGTGAAAAAGTGTTCATCTCAACCCCATTTGTATTCTTACGATACCAAGTATGACGTCACAGAACTCAAGCACGGTCAAGAGACTGGCACCGACACAAAGACCAACTTGACCGCCGATTTCGCCTGAGAATAAGAAAAAGAGACAATTCATTCACGTGAAAGAAATCTGCGTGACAGCAAAGGCTCGAGATGATGTACCGGGGCTTTAGCGTGAAATTTCAGCAAATGGCGTCTTTATGAGTAACGGAGTGCAGTAGAAGCACAAGTTTAAATACAAAATAGACACTTATCCTCAAAGATTAAGAAGAAAGTTGATGTTTACATATGAAGAGATGAACTTACCTAACAAACTTTCCAATTCATAGGCCGGTGTTTCCTCAATAACCTGGTAATTCAAATCCTGGAAATAAACACGCAGCTCAAGAAAATTCTGCCTGTAAAAATAAAATTACTTATTGAATTATAAAGAATAAGGTGGATTCAGTTCAATCAAATGAGTTTATAATAGAAAAATAGAAATCCATTAATTGATCAAATATCAAAAGGTGATAATGAACAAGTTGTTGACATACAAATTTGCTTAACTTTAAAATTAGGTCAGTCAGCCTGAAAAATAAGAATTCGACCCACACTCAGGAACAACCCACAAAAGTTTTAGTTTTCTTGAATTTTTGAGGTGGACGAGGGGGAAGTCGGAATCGTCGCGGAGGAGGGGGGGCGGGTTTAAGCCCTACTTTCCACTACTTATTAGACTTGTTCTCTTTGCCTTAAGTTTAACTCCTTGGGTGCGCTATATATATAGTCAACTGGTATGTTTAAAAGCCCCATTAGGGAAGAGGTCAATTAACATTATCATTATTATCATTGTTAATACTTACATTAGCTGTGATCGCGACACAAAATTTTTTATCTTTTTTTTCCTCAAGATCGAGTTTACAGGAAAAGTGAGTAGTTACAATCAGAGTTTATCTCTACCGTATATATATGGTTTCCATAAACGTTAGGCTTTGTCCAACAAACTTAATTTACATACGATTACCTTAACCATTGTTGTGTTTGTTTGATTTTTTCTGCTGTCCAGTAAGTGTTATTCTCCCCTGCTTTGAAAAACCGCGACAAATATCCTTGGCTAGGGAACGCAGCGTATGACAAGTAGGGTTCATAGGAAATCGCACCACAGGGCACTGGACAATCACACTGATTTTTCTTTAAGGTTTGAAAGTTAGCTGGAATATGAAATAATGAGGAGGCAATGGCATCAGGTTGCTCAAATATTAGAAATACATCATAAAGCCCTGGGCGGATAACGCTATCCAGCAAAAAAGTGTCTCAAAAAAAAACAAACAAACAAACAAACAAACAAACAAACCAAAAAAAAACAAAAAACAGGCGTGCTGCGCTATCCAGCAAATGAAGATTTATCCAGTGGATAGTGAACAACCGAGGCCAGAAGTAAATTGGAAACATATATGATATACACGAACCTTGAGCTTTAAGAAGGCAAGTCAACTCTTTTTTGGTTTTGCAGGGTTTGGTGCCGTTCAGTCCTGTTGAAACAGGATGTAATTAAAGTATTTACAGTGCGAACTTATGGCACTAGCTGGTGCATGAACAGCAATGTGTTGAATTACTAAAGGCACGCTCGCACAACGAATGTGAAGCGGATAAGTTAATTGAATAGTTATGAGTTGCCCTAATGATTAATTCTTTACTTTTCAAAGTTCCCAGTTTCACAACGGTGGAGAATACGTCATTCTTCCCTCTCTTTATGTTGTCTGCCTCACTATTTCGTATCAACCAAAAATTCGTCTCGAGCTTAAAAAGTTTTCAGAAGTCTATTAAGGGTATGATTTAAGTATAAATTTCACACATTTTTCAAATGCCACTACTTTGGTTTAAGGTCTACTCAACTTTTCAACCTTGCAGAGAGAATTCCAAGCAGTCTTATCACCCTCTTGAGCAAATTTATTTAACGTCACCTCTTCATTGCAGACAGGAAAGTATCAGTTCGGGGATTACTTTCTTTCATGAAACATTAGCAAACTTCCAGAAGATTTCTGAGTGAAATCCCTCCTCCCCCCCTTCCCCTCCCCTTGAATGTCAATTTGTAAGTGTATTATCGTTCCAAACGAGAAATTACCAAGGCAAGCTCAATAATTATGAAGAATATCATTTGAAAACTCACCAGACATTTCCATGTTTCTACAACCGCATTCTTTTATGAAAGACCTGGCCTCACAGAGCGACAAACATGATGAAATTGTGTACGTCGTGTGATCAGTTATGGCATCCATCTTTCCATCGTAGCAGTTGCTTTCGTACGGTTTTGGGAGATTTATAACCTTCAACAAGTAGACGGAGGGATGGAAAAGCTCAAGGATTATTTTGAAGAACGAATTGATTTTTTGTTTGACTTATGAATTGATACAACAAACTCGAGCCTTAAGTGATCCAAGGGCCCTCTTTGAGGCAGACCCAAAGCTTCCATAAGACATTTAAAACTGAAACAAAAACAAAACAAAAAGAAAGAAAGAAAGAGAGAAAGAACGAAAACCTCGAGGTGTTTCAGATTGGAAAAGGGCTGTAGGAAAAGAAGAATTGTTGCCTTTTTTTGTCACGTTTAAATACTAATGTGAAAATTGTTTCATAAGCTGTGAACAAGAAATTTCTGAAAGCCATTTTGGATGACCTCTATTTAGTCCACGTATTCATAGTCGTAAGTAACAAATCACTGCTGATTTCGAGATGTACTTTTAACAAAGTGATTAAAAAAGAACGATGAGATTGTGTCAAAAAAAAGAAGATAACGTGGTCTCAGGGGCTTGCTGATCAAGTTATAAATAAACCAAATTAATGATCTGGATTGCAATCGGTCGTAGGACTGTCCCGATTGTGCTCGTAAAATGCTGGAAAGTTGCTGACTGGAATGCTTAAACGATGCTAAAGAGATGCCAAATCCAAAAAGTTGCCAGCTGAATTTCTTGATATTCTAATATGAACATTAATTAAGTGCTTTATTTTTCGCTCTTCACAATAAATGCTAACATCGGTCAAGAAAAAAAACAGCTGGAACCTAGCTTTAAGGAGTTGCTCGCAAATAGGGACGAAATCTAAGGATACTCCAAACGTCAAAGCTTGCCCAAAAGTTGCCGAGCACAATCGGGAAAGGCCCATTCGGTTGCTACGGCTATGATATTTACACAGACCGCTCTCCTTCCTTATATAACTTACCCTTTTTTTTTTCGTATCCCTGCAAATACACTTGTGCCAGGACCAACAGAAAATCCAAGCCGACCAACTATAGGCAGAGTATTCTGACGATGAACACGTATCTTGAGGCCGGCGCTGATTGCTTGAATTCCAAAATATTCATATTGTTGTACGTTTAGTATCAAAGAAAGTCCAGAGTCTGCTCCTGCCTCATTGACCTTCAAAACACCTTGACCATCCTTCCCTGAAAAATCTGAGAATCAATCACTCAATCCGTCCACCCATTGGTCGGTCCGTCCCTCCGTACGTACGTAAGTCCCTCAACTTATCCATATTAATAATTTATAATCATTTAAAGTAAACAATTTCACCGAAGATGAATTTTTCCGTCAAACAGTAATCGTAACAGTGATCTACATGGATTAAATCTTTGCGTCTTGGCAAACGTTCCAGATCACTCGGTTGTAATTATAGATCGACTTGAAAACAACAACAAAATAACACAAATTACAGCCCTGATGCTTCGAAAATAAAGCATCTGCATAAATAATGAAGACCTTGGCAGATTCTCAAAGAAAAAAAGAAGGCTTGCTAAGATCAAGAAATCCCAAAACATACCTGAATTAAATGTGTAGCAAAGCCCCATAGAGGTCAAAACTGGAGTGAAATTCCTGTAATCGCAGGTCTGTTTACCGTTCCACAGACAAGAATGCATAGTATCATTGATTTGATGTCCCGCATCGAATAAAAATTGTGTTAAGTTGGTTAGTGTGCTGAAGTCTACATTTTCATATGTAGCTCCACCCAGTCCTAACGAAGGCAAATTTTTAACAACAGAACTTCTGTACTTGTTGAAGTTGCAAATAGTCACGGCTGGGAAATCCGGCATCGAATCGTATTTCAAACTGACTTTTGTGGTGTTTGGGAAGCTGAAATACTTCTTTAACATGCTGATGGACTGATATGAAAAAAACGCAATTGCCGTCAAAAGAAACACAGCCCAGAGAATGCGACGAATCCTCGATTTACCGGTAACCACATAAGATAAACCATGAAGAGTTGCATTTTCCACGAAACCATTCCATAGTTGCCTGATTGCAGACATCTTGGACGCGTCTTCCCCAGACACGTCGTTACACTCGGGGTTGATTTTGTTCCTCGCTGTGCCATTTATTTTTGAATGATTTCGTAGTAATCCAGCAGTTCCTGACATCTCTAAAAAACAACAGAACCGTCAGGTTGAATTTTCGAAGCATTCATTTTTTTTTTTTTTTTAAATCAGAGTTAACCAATTTTGAATCGTAGCTTTGCCTGCTTGTATGCCTGCGGTGATTTTAATACCAATAGGAGTAGTTTATCTGCTTTTAGGAGGGCCAGACCAATCACACAGCGGCATTTTTTATTACGTGACTAAATATGAATATTTTTACTGTGGACTTTGAAATTATCGCGACTGAATAACAGTCGTGAGTGCCTGGCGACTAATGACAAAACACTCGGTTCTTCGTAAAAACAACAGCTGGATACACAATAATAAAAATGCGAAAAAAGGAAAAAATGGAAAGCGAGGTAGCAGAAAATCACTTTTGATGATCCTCATTTGACAAAATGGAATTAAATCGAGAAGGTCAAGTTTTAAAACCTTTTGTTGGCGTCACGAATCCTATTTTTTTAAATTTCTTTTTTAATTTAACAATTTGCCAAAGGTAGGTAAACTTACAATAGGACAAGTTTGTCCCCTACCTGGTAACTTACCTTTTCTAACCCCTACAAACAGACAAAATTGAAACCCAACCGACTTATAAGCCCCCCATGCTAGGAAATAACAACATATATAATCATTGACGAAAGAGAAAAAGAAAAAAAAACTAGTTGATTAACATGCACAAGAATTAAGAGCATTAAAACGACGAGGGAGAGGGAAGAAATTACAGGCCTTTTTGATCAATCCTCTCTGAAATCCTTAGAGAGGATAGCATCCACTGCTTCCTAATCTTATGTGTTCAATCAATGGTTGATTATTATCAGGGATAAAAAGTGTTGCAACAGATTAAGGTTTTATGGATCAATGTGTCAGTTTCTGAGTAACTGCGCACCTGCTTGTCCTCTAGCCCAACAACAGTTGACTTGAAGTTAGTCAGGGTCAATATTAGGTCAGGGAAGAGGTGGCTCAGATACTGCTCAGATAAGCTCAGATATGCTGAGGTACTGCTAAGATACACACAGATATGCTGAGATACTGACATTGATCTGGTCTTTTTTTTATAGCAAGCTTGCCATTAGTTTACTGATTTTGTAAAGACTCGCCTTGTGCTTGTGATTTTCTAACTTTCCTGTTGTTTGCTCAAAGTTCTTCTTTGGTTTTGTGTGGGAAAAATATGCCCTTTTGAGTAACTTGCTTTAATAACCCCTTAACTCCCAAGATCTCATTAGTAATTCTCCTAACTGTCTGCTATACAGATCTTTTTTTGTTAGTTTGGAGAATTTAGTATTGAATCAACTTACAGTCCCTAATTGAAATTTTTCTTTATTCTCATCACTTGTCTGCTTGATATTGTATTAATATTGTAAGGAGAAATTCTATCTTGGTCACTCATGGGAGTTAAAGGGTTAAGTAGATCTAACTGGCTCCTTTTTTTTACAGATGTTTCTGAAATTCACTAAACATTTAATCCAATGCACCATGTTATTGAATATTCGTGAAATTGCAACAGAAGTGCAAATTAAACTGGTTCCCAACTGGTAACTTTGGCTTTTAAATCTTAGACAATTCTCCACCCTTAAGATTTAGAGTTTGCATTTGTATCCTTTCTGTTTTGAAGGCACTTGAAAGATTTGAAGGAGGCCTACTTTGGGACCTTGAGTCGCCGTAACTTTAGGCGACTTTGGGCGACTTAAGGCGACTTAAGGCGACTTTAGCAAAATTGGCACAAAAAATATTGCGACTTTAGGCGATTTAAGGCGACTTAAGATCTCAGAGTAGGCCTTTACATTCTCTAATCGCAATGACATTTTCAGCGATGTTTTACCAGGAGGAAAATGCCTACCATCCATAATGTGAACTTAATATTGGCATTCTGTAATGGTTCAATTGTGGGGACTAATCTTTCTCCTTTAATCTCATATGCACAGCCAGTGGTTATTCAGTTCTTCGCAATCAACCTTAGCACCTCGTGTATGAATATCAAATTGATATGAACGATATCCTAAACTCGAACAAGCTTATTAGCAACTCCGCAGAGAACATGTTACTAAGTTAGTGCAAATATTAATAGAACCTCTCTTTAAACAACTAGTCATGTATTTGAATACAGAAGTGACTTCATAAAACTACTTCCTATCCAGTCTCTCCAACTACTTTTCTAGCTGCAGAAAACTATGATTGAGGTGGAGTGGATAAGGTCAATTGGGAAGGGTTGAACCCTTATGACATTGTGTAACCAATAGAAACCTAAGGAAACTTAAGGTGGCTTAAGGTGACTTTAGGCGACTTAGGGCGACTTAAGGTGACTTAATGCGACTTAAGGCGACTTAAGGTCTCAGAATAGGCCTTGAAGGCGCTCTTTAGAATACTTTTTATTTGGGGGAGACATGGCACAGTACTTAGTACTGAAGAATTTTGATGCTGTTGACAGTCTCTCCTTTGCTCTCTTCTCTTTCCACTTACACAATTTGATTTTGCTTTGCATCATTAGCATCTCATTCAATTCCTAACCCATATGAAACACAGATTTATGGAAAATGTTTTAGTCTTAAAAAACGAAACATGTTCTGAAGTGAAAAAGTGTTCATCTCAACCCCATTTGTATTCTTACGATACCAAGTATGACGTCACAGAACTCAAGCACGGTCAGGAGACTGGCACCGACACAAAGACCAACTTGACCGCCGATTTCGCCTGAGAATAAGAAAAAGAGACAATTCATTCACGTGAAAGAAATCTGCGTGACAGCAAAGGCTCGAGATGATGTACCGGGGCTTTAGCGTGAAATTTCAGCAAATGGCGTCTTTATGAGTAACGGAGTGCAGTAGAAGCACAAGTTTAAATACAAAATAGACACTTATCCTCAAAGATTAAGAAGAAAGTTGATGTTTACATATGAAGAGATGAACTTACCTAACAAACTTTCCAATTCATAGGCCGGTGTTTCCTCAATAACCTGGTAATTCAAATCCTGGAAATAAACACGCAGCTCTAGAAAGTTCTGCCTGTAAAAATAAAATTACTTATTGAATTATAAAGAATAAGGTGGATTCAGTTCAATCAAATGAGTTTATAATAGAAAAATAGAAATCCATTAATTGATCAAATATCAAAAGGTGATAATGAACAAGTTGTTGACATACAAATTTGCTTAACTTTAAAATTAGGTCAGTCAGCCTGAAAAATAAGAATTCGACCCACACTCAGGAACAACCCACAAAAGTTTTAGTTTTCTGGAATTTTTGAGGTGGACGAGGGGGAAGTCGGAATCGTTGCAGGAGAGGGCGGGGGGGGTCGGGTTTAAGCCCTACTTTCCACTACTTATTAGACTTGTTCTCTTTGCCTTAAGTTTAACTCCTTGGGTGCGCTATATATATAGTCAACTGGTATGTTTAAAAGCCCCATTAGGGAAGAGGTCAATTAACATTATCATTATTATCATTGTTAATACTTACATAAGCTGTGATCGCGACACAAAATTTTTTATCTTTTTTTTCCTCAAGATCGAGTTTACAGGAAAAGTGAGTAGTTACAATCAGAGTTTATCTTTACCGTATATATATAGTGTCCATAAACGTTAGGCTTTGTCCAACAAACTTAATTTACATACGATTACCTTAACCATTGTTGTGTTTGTTTGATTTTTTCTGCTGTCCAGTAAGTGTTATTCTCCCCTGCTTTGAAGAACCGCGACAAATATCCTTGGCTAGGGAACGCAGCGTATGACAAGTAGGGTTCATAGGAAATCGCACCACAGGGCACTGGACAATCACACTGATTTTTCTTTAAGGTTTGAAAGGTAGCTGGAATATGAAATAATGAGGAGGCAATGGCATCAGGTTGCTCAAATATTAGAAATACATCATAAAGCCCTGGGCGGATAACGCTATCCAGCAAAAAAGTGTCTCAAAAAAAAAAAAACAAACAAACAAACCAAAAAAAAAAAAACAGGCGTGCTGCGCTATCCAGCAAATGAAGATTTATCCAGTGGATAGCGAACAACCGAAGCCAGAAGTAAATTGGAAACATATATGATATACACGAACCTTGAGCTTTAAGAAGGCAAGTCAACTCTTTTTTGGTTTTGCAGGGTTTGGTGCCATTCAGTCCTGTTGAAACAGGATGTAATTAAAGTATTTACAGTGCGAACTTATGGCACTAGCTGGTGCATGAACAGCAATGTGTTGAATTACTAAAGGCACGCTCGCACAACGAATGTGAAGCAGATAAGTTAATTGAATAGTTATGAGTTGCCCTAATGATTAATTCTTTACTTTTCAAAGTTCCTAGTTTCACAACGGTGTAGAATACGTCATTTCCCCCTCTCTTTATGTTGTTTGCCTCACTATTTCGTATCAACCAAAAATTCGTCTCGAACTTAAAAAGTTTTCAGAAGTCTATTAAGGGTATGATTTGGGTATAAATTTCACACATTTTTCAAATGCCACTACTTTGGTTTAAGGTCTACTCAACTTTTCAACCTTGCAGAGAGAATTCCAAGCAGTCTTATCACCCTCTTGACCAAATTTATTCAACGTCACCTCTTCATTGCAGACAGGAAAGTATCAGTTCGGGGATTACTTTCTTTCATGAAACGTTAGCAAACTTCCAGAAGATTTCTGAGTGAAATCCCTCCTCCCCCCCCCCCCCTTCCCCCCTTGAATGTCAATTTGTAAGTGTATTATCGTTCCAAACGAGAAATTACAAAGGCAAGCTCAATAATTAAGAAGAGTATCATTTGAAAACTCACCAGACATTTCCACGTTTCTACAACCGCATTCTTTTATGAAAGACCTGGCCTCACAGAGCGACAAACATGATGAAATTGTGTACGTCGTGTGATCAGTTATGGCATCCATCTTTCCATCGTAGCAGTTGCTTTCGTACGGTTTTGGGAGATTTATAACCTTCAACAAGTAGACGGAGGGATGGTAAAGCTCAAGGATTATTTTGTAGAACGAATTGATTTTTTGTTTGACTTATGATTTGATACAACAAACTCGAGCCTTAAGTGATCCAAGGGCCCTCTTTGAGGCAGACCCAAAGCTTCCATAAGACATTTAAAACTGAAACAAAAAAAAAAACAAAAAGAAAGAAAGAAAGAGAGAAAGAACGAAAACCTCGAGGTGTTTCAGATTGGAAAAGGGCTGTAGGAAAAGAAGAATTGTTGCCTTTTTTTTTGTCACGTTTAAATACTAATGTGAAAATTGTTTCATAAGCTGTGAACAAGAAATTTCTGAAAGCCATTTTGGATTACCTCTATTCAGTCCACGTATTCATAGTCGTAAGTAACAAATCACTGCTGATTTCGAGATGTACTTTTAACAAAGTGATTAAAAAAGAACGATGAGATTGTGTCAAAAAAAAAGAAGATCACGTGGTCTCAGGGACTTGCTGATCAAGTAATTAATAAACTAAATTAATGATCTGGATTGCAATCGGTCGTAGGACTGTCCCGATTGTGCTCGTAAAATGCTGGAAAGTTGCTCACCGGAATGCTTAAACTATGCTAAAGAGATGCCAAATCCAAAAAGTTGCCAGCTGAATTTCTTGATATTCTAATATGAACATTAATTAAGTGCTTTATTTTTCGCTCTTCACAATAAATGCTAACATCGGTCAAGAAAAAACAGCTGGAACCTAGCTTTAAGGAGTTGCTCGCAAATAGGGATGAAATCTAACGATACTCCAAACGTCAAAGCTTACCCAAAAGTTGCCGAGCACAATCGGGAAAGGCCCATTCGGTTGCTACGGCTATGATATTTACACAGACCGCTCTCCTTCCTTATATAACTTACCCTCTTTTTTCGTATCCCTGCAAATACACTTGTGCCAGGACCAACAGAAAATCCAAGCCGACCAACTATAGGCAGAGTATTCTGACGATGAACACGTATCTTGAGGCCGGCGCTGATTGCTTGAATTCCAAAATATTCATATTGTTGTACGTTTAGTATCAAAGAAAGTCCAGAGTCTGCTCCTGCCTCATTGACCTTCAGAACACTTTGACCATCCTTCCCTGAAAAATCTGAGAATCAATCACTCAATCCATCCACCCATTGGTCGGTCCGTCCCTCCGTACGTACGTAAGTCCCTCAACTTATCCATATTAATAATTTATAATCATTTAAAGTAAACAATTTCACCGAACATGAATTTTTCCGTCAAACAGTAATCGTAACAGTGATCTACATGGATTAAATCTTTGCGTCTTGGCAAACGTTCCAGATCACTCGGTTGTAATTATAGATCGACTTGAAAACAACAACAAAATAACACAAATTACAGCCCTGATGCTTCGAAAATAAAGCATCTGCATAAATAATGAAGACCTTGGCAAATTCTCAAAGAAAAAAAGAAGGCTTGTTAAGATCAAAAAATCCCAAAACATACCTGAATTAAATGTGTGGCAAAGCCCCATAGAGGTCAAAACTGGAGTGAAATTCCTGTAATCGCAGGTCTGTTTACCGTTCCACCGACAAGAATGCATAGTATCCTTGATTTGATGTCCCGCATCGAATAAAAATTGTGTTAAGTTGGTTAGTGTGCTGAAGTCTACATTTTCATATGTAGCTCCACCCAGTCCTAACGAAGTCAAATTTTTAACAACAGAACTTCTGTACTTGTTGAAGTTGCAAATAGTCACGGCTGGGAAATCCGGCATCGAATCGTATTTCAAACTGACTTTTGTGGTGTTTGGGAAGCTGAAATACTTCTTTAACATGCTGATGGACTGATATGAAAAAAACGCAATTGCCGTCAAAAGAAACACAGCCCAGAGAATGCGACGAATCCTCGATTTACCGGTAACCACATAAGATAAACCATGAAGAGTTGCATTTTCCACGAAACCATTCCATAGTTGCCTGATTGCAGACATCTTGGACGCATCTTCCCCAGACACGTCGTTACACTCGGGGTTGATTTTGTTCCACGCTGTACCATTTATTTTTGAACCATTTCGTAGTAATCCAGCAGTTCCTGACATCTCTAAAACAACAAAACCGTCAGGTTGAGTTTTCGAAGCATTCATTTTTGTTTTTTTTTTAAATCAGAGTTAACCAATTTTGAATCGTAGCTTTGCCTGCTTGTATGCCTGCGGTGATTTTAATACCAATAGGAGTAGTTTATCTGCTTTTAGGAGGGCCAGACGAATCACACAGCGGCATTTTTTATCATACGTGACTAAATATGAATATTTTTACTGTGGACTTTGAAATTATCGCGACTGAATAACAGTCGTGATTGCCTGGCGACTAATGACAAAACACTCAGTTCTTAGTAAAAACAACAGCTGGATACATAATAATAAAAATGCGAAAAAAGGAAAAAATGGAAAGCGAGGTAGCAGAAAATCACTTTTGATGATCCTCATTTGACAAAATGGAATTAAATCGAGAAAAACAGATCTCATTTTAATTTGAGTCATCCATGCTACTGGACTTTTGCCAAGGTCAAGTTTTAAAACCTTTTGTTGGCGTCACGAATCCTATTTTTTTAAATTTCTTTTTTAATTTAACAATTTGCCGAAGGTAGGTAAACTTACAATAGGACAAGTTTGTCCCCTACTTGGTAAATTACATTTCTCTAACCCCTACAAACAGACAAAATTGAAACCCAACCGACTTATAAGCCCCCATGCTAGGAAATAACAAAATATATAATCATTGACGAAAGAGAAAAAGAAAAAAAAACTAGCTGATTAACATGCACAAGAATTAAGAGCATTGAAAGGACAAAATTTTACACAAACTATTTTAAAAGAACAGATGTCGTCTTGATTGAAAACTTTGCTAAGTCTTAGATAAAAGAAAGATTTTAATTTTTTGACGAAAGACGGTAATTTCTTTTCAGCTCTTATGTTATCTGGTAAGGCGTTCCATATGTTACAGATTCTTAGAAAAAAGGAATCTCTATAGAGTTAGGTTTTAGCTTTCTTGTTTCTGAGAACAAGACCAGTGTCGCCTCGGCGCAAGCGCCCACTACAAAACTCAAAGAAATCGTTTCTTTTCAGATCAATTAAACCTAATTTATCTTTAAATAAAAAGACAATGTCTAGTTATTCCAGCCAATATTTCAGGGGAAGTAAGTTCAGTTCTTATATACGTTTATGGTGGCCGAGGGCTGCCACTCAAAATTTTACAATTTTTCAAAGATTTAATAAAAAATAAAAGAAAAAATAAATCAAAACTGAAAGTAAAATGAAACGTGACTGCAAAACAAAGGAAAAAGAAGTGTTGAAAGTAAATTGAAGTAGCAAGCAAATTTAAAAGCAAAAGTAATTGCATTATCAAAGTAAAATTCATTTCAAAATTAAACTGAAATCCAAGGGCAATTCACGGAAAAATAAAAATAAATTGAAAATCAAATCAAAACAAAAGTCTAAGTAAATATCGCTGTGGCCGAGGGTTGCCACTACCATGATACTGTGCGGGCGTGATTGTATGTCCCATCGTGCTTTGTGTCCATATACTTAAGTTGTGAAGTTGTTTTGAGCTTGAGTGATTTAAAAGAGTTTTCTAGTATTTCGATGTCAGATTTCAGAGAGGCCTTGTGGAAAAATAATGCCGATCTTAAAGAGGCTTTGCTAAAATATGTCGGGCAAAGATTACAAAGATGAGAGATGTTAGATTTCCTCACTCGTGACTTTCCGCTTTACACGTGGAGTCTAAGGATGCTTGATAGAAGGCTTCGTCATTTTGACATATTTTTCAATGATAGTGCTGTTAAAGTAGATCACGTTATGAAGGCATTTGAAACTGAGCCAAACGGGCCTGGAAAGCTATTGGAGTACCACGCAATGCACAAAAAAATAAGGCAATAGTACTTCAAGTAGTTCCGGACGGAATACCGGACCACATCGATAACTTTCCAGAGCAATAGGACCTTGAAGACTGTGATAGGTGGTATACCCATGTAAAAAAAAAAAAAGGAAACAAAAAGGTGTCTGGGTGACCCTTAATAGGAAGTGGAAGGGGAATGAACAGAAAAAGAGGGGCATGCAATGACACTGAGATAAACAAAAAGTTCCCGTTGGTCTGAACCTATGAGACATTAACCCATTGACACCTACGTGTAACGCGTTCCTATCCAAAAGTTAAAATTTTGGAGAAACCGGAAAAGCAAACACAATGCCCGGTAAATTTTTATAAAACATTTTTTTTGTCAAAACCAAGCTCCAGTGAAAGATGACCTCATTAAAAACTTACTTTCAACAAAAAAAGCGATAGGTGCATATTAAATTTTTACTCTAAAATCAAGATAAAAGATAAAAATCGGTTAATTTTTTCGCACGTTTGTAAACAAGTATGCGGATTGGATTTCAAAGTGAAAGTGCAAATTTGTCAGTGTGTGGAGAGCTGTCATGTTACATGGAATTTACAAATAAGAAGTAAGATGAAACTGACCAAGGAACGTTTCGGAAAAAAACTTAAATAAAAACAGTGTGGCTCTGTGCAGGATGTTTTCGATCTCGACCATTAGTGTGGGAAATCGGGGAACCCACAGTTGAGACGCGTAGCAGAGATGTGATCTTACCAGTAATAGATATAGGGTTTTCACAAGGTCTCTTTTGAGGTCTCTTACACAGTTACGTCTAATAAGACCAATCATGCGATTGGCTTTTGCGACAACTGAAGTTATATGGCCCGTTCATTTCAGGTCATTACTTATGATAACTCCCAGATCCGTAGCAGATTTGATAACATTAAGTTCAGTTCCCAATATAGAGTGCGATATTTCTGGGCTTATCAGTTTTCTTGGTATTCTTGGATCATAGCCAGAAATTCCGAATCGCGCGTACGCAATAGACCACAAGACTTAGAATTTCACGATCTTATAAACTTGCTGAAGAATAGAAGGATCAGTATGGGATTCGCATAAAACCTGTTTATAAAATTCGTATAATGGACGTAACCTCACCATCCCAATGCCAGTTTGAATGATACTCATCAGTACTTTCATTGCAGAATTACTTCGTTTTGGTAAATCAAACACTCGTTGCGGTTTTCTCGGTTATTACTTGCAGCGTTTTATTCCGAAGAAATCCCCTTTAAAGCACACAAAATGGCGCCTATCTTCGTAATTGCCACTCTGAACATCTTAACTCAGCCGAAATCCTCTCCTAGTATCGATCCATCCCAATCAAATCATTTAGGTTCAAAGATGTCATTCCACTTTTACGTCAAATCGGACTTTGTAAACCCTGAAAACATTGCGGCTTTTTTAGCCTTCTTTCAGCAAATACGAACGCATCCACGAACAGTAATCTTACTTCGATCGCGCGGAAAAAAACAGTATTGAAAGCCTCTCTTGCTAGTACTAAATGCTGTGTTATACCAACAGCTTAATGACAGCTAAGACTGGTAACTACAGGGGTGATTACGAGGCTGGAGGCTCGGTGCAACGGGCCTTTTTTACAAAAATTTATGTACACAGCCAACATAGTTAAAATTTACAGATTTGAATGTACACTTTCAAAGATGAAAGTACACTTAGAACGTTTATGTGCCTTTTTAATAAAGAGTTGAATGAACACTTGTAACAAAGTTGTAGATACTAACAAAGATGAATGCACACCTGAAATTAAATGCTCTTACCGACCACTTACACTTGGCATATCCATCTCAAAATTTGTATAGAATATTTTCCACTGTCTCATGCAAAAGTCATAATTTTATTTAATCTGAAAAGAGCATGTTAGGAGAATATTTCTTTTATTTTGAAATCATATGTATGATTACAGACCAAATTGCAGTCTGCTCAGTTCAATTACCACAATTAATTTTATTTAAGTAGAACTTCACGACTCAATCATTTAGAGCCACTTTAGTAAAATTAAAAGAAATGTTCTCTTGATATGCCCTTGGTAACAAAGTAGAAATCCCACCCATACCCATTTCATACTTCTTTGGGGACCAAGAAATATTTTCATTTACATTTTCTAGAATTATTGCAACGTCCGGGCTTGGCCTGTTGAATAGATACCCTCCTCTGGCTCCCATGAGGCTTCGTAAGGCAAGTAGCTCTTCCATTGCACGAAATATTCTACCTAATTAAATGAAAGGCAAAAAAAAGCCTGTGCTGATTTCGACTGAATTCAGTTAAAAATATATAAACACAAGCGATCACGTGCGAAGACAGGCACTACGGCCAAACACTTACCCTTTCATCTGTTTACCGTCTTTCGACAAGCCTTTCGACTTTCCAATAAGTCGATCTTCTGTTCTAGATTAATTTCTTTGGCTGGACAAAGTCGGCATCCGCGGATGAAATAGCATTTAACATCAAAAGATACCTTTTAGAAAGTTGGGGGGCCCCTACATCACGGGCGACGAGTGGGGGAAGAAGAAAAGATCAAAATACGAGTGGTCAGCGTGAAATGAGGGGATTGAATATATATGATAAACACTAAACGAACTACAGCAGATGGAAATTTTAAATTTCTTATCTAAAGGCTGTGGATACAAACTTATTAATGACTCTAAAAATATAAAAATCTAGAACGAAATTTTTTTAGAGTTGCTTAGCTTTTCATTTTTCCGGAATCGAAAGTCGCGATTGCAAAATTCAAGTGAAAAGCAAACCAGCTGTGATTAACGCCTTAAACAAGTCAAGATACTTTTTTTCGTCATCCAACAAGTTACATATCGTGAATGCCATTCTTTTTAATGCCTTTCCTGGTGTCTCCGGCGCCTTTCCCGATGCTTCCGTTGGTAAATATAGCAGAAAAAATAAAATAATTATTGTTCCAGTCAACGTGTTTGGAAAATTACTTAACTTTTTAAGTAGTGAAGTATAACCTGGTAACATTTTGGCTTTACAACAAGATTGTAATTTGCAAGTTACAAAACGTAAATGTTATTCTTCTTTGTGCTTTTCCGAATGCCACCGATGCCTCCGTTGTTTATTACAGCAATAAAAGATATATGTGCCATCAACACCTTTAAAAAATTGCTTAATTTTACACACTTTACACACTTTATTTTTCTTTTTCTTACAAAATAATTTAGATTATGTTGACCCGCAGATAGCAAATTTGCTATTCGAGGCGGGTCAATCATCAACAAACATTATTTACAATATATAAAGAAAATTAAAAACTAAATAGTTAGATACTGTTAAATTATAAAGAGAAGCATAACTGGTAAATACATCAATAGTTGTTCAATAAAGTATAGAAGCAAATAAATTAGTACTGAAAGCAATCGGATCAATTTGTTTTAATTATGCAGTCCTTAAGTTTAGAGGAGATCTTTTCAACATCAGTATCTGAAATAAAGACGTTTTTATTTGTTTATTAAAGGAATGTTTTGATAACGTTTTGAATTCTTTCGGTATCTTATTCCAAATTTTGACACCAACACGCGAGAAAGCCTTTTTTTGTAGGTTAAGTCTAGAGTACTTTGTACTAAAGAGCTGCGATTTGGATGATCGAGTATTGTAGGTATGAATATGAGATGTTTTAGTAAATAGTTTCAAAATATCTGGTTGTGCACGTCAAACATAAGTTTACTTACGGCTTCATAATATAGGAACGTAACAGGCAGAATTTTTGCTTTGGCAAATAAAGGGATGGCATGCTCTCTTCGATCGGTGAAATAGATTAAGCGCAAAACTCGCTTTTGAAGAACTAAAATCTTGTTTAAATAAGCATTTGACGCATTGCCCCAGGCAAGGAGTCCATAAGTTATATAAGGTAGAATTAATGAATTGTAAATATTTACAAGGACAGTAGAGGGAACGAAGTACCTCAGCTTTGCAATCATCCCTATTGTTTTACTTATTTTTACGATAACAGAGTCAACATGGTTTTTCCATGACAAATTTTGATCAATTAAAACGCCTAGATATTTGATATAACTTTTTTGCTCTAAACTAACTCTTCGGTTTGTCTCACAATCTAAAATACCTATTTGTGGAGAAAAATTCATTTTTTTCTGACGAGGACGAAAAATTAAGAAATTTGATTTTTTTGTATTCAATGTCAACGTATTTGTAGTTAACCAGTCATGTACGTTATTCAACTCTACATTAACCGTTTGCTCGATCGCCTTAAGATTCTTATCAGCATAAAGTATATTAGTATCATCCGCAAAGAGATAAAATTTTAGTTTATCAGAACAAAGGTGAATGTCATTTATGTAAAGTAAAAATAGAAGAGGTCCAAGGACTGATCCCTGGGGGACACCACAGGGGGAGATAAGTTTTGTTGATAAGTGCTCTCCAATCTGAATTGTTTGTGTTCTATTTTTTAAATATGATTGAAACCAGTCATTTATCAATCCACGGAAACCGTAAAAGTTCAATTTATCGAGTAATATTTCATGATTGACCGTATCAAATGCCTTTTTCAGGTCAATGAAGACACCGCATGAGAAGTACCGTTTATCCATATTACGTATTATATCTTCGACAATATCAAGTACTGCATGCTCTGTGGAATGTGACTTGCGAAAGCCATACTGTGAGGAGTACAATAGGTTGTTTTTGTCAATAAATTCCTTCATCCGGTAGTACAAAAGTTTTTCAAAAATCCTATTAAAATTAGACAAAAGAGATATTGGTCGATAGTTTGAAGGGTCGGTCTCGTCGTCACTTTTATATATTGGCGTTATTTTAGAAATCTTAAGTTTTGAAGGATAGACACCAAGGATAACAGATAAATTGAAAATATGAGAAAGAACTGGAGATATGATATTGCAAGAAAATGTAAGCAGTTGTGTAGGGCAGGAGTATAAGCCACAGGATTTACTATTTGGTAGGGATAATATTTCCTGTTTAACTTCTTCTGGTGTAATGGGTTTGAAAAAAAAGGAAGAATCAGGTGATTTCAATTTACCAAGATAACTCATATAGTTATCTTTCTTTGGCAATTTACTTGCTAGTAAATTACCAACATTTGCAAAATGCTTATTTAGAATATTTGGTAATCTGGAAGGATTTTGTGTTATTTGATTGTTATTGCTTGGGTCTTTCAGCTTCGTTAACACTCTGCTTTTTGTCCTTTGGTTATTTATTAATTCATTTATTACTTTCCACGTCTTTTTCATATTATTTGTATTTTTCTCAAAGAAATCATAGTAATAACGTTTTTTACTCCAACGAATAAGGTTTGTAATTTTATTTCTATAATATTTATATTTGCTGTGTATTCCATTTACATATAGCTTGTTCTTTATTTTTATTGATGTCCTTATTCCTTTTGTTATCCACGGTTTTGCAAGTTGTTTAATTTTACGTTTGGATAAAATTTTAACAGGCGCATGGTTATTCACGACTGAATTTAATTTTCTGTAGAAAGATGAGAATAGTTCATCAATATTATTTGTTTTTGAGGCAATAATAGCATCCCAGTCGATCGCGGACAAATCATTATTAAATTCCTCAGAGGAGAATTGAGAGAAGTCGCGTTTTTTAATTGTTTTCTTGACAGGTTTGTCTCGCTTAGATTTCAAAATACAAAATTGAGAAAAATGATCAGAGACATCGGTAATAATGTTTCCACTAATTAGAACTTGATCAGGATTATTAACGAAAATATTATCAATAAGAGAGGCTGAGTTATTACATACGCGTGTTGGTTTGTCAATAGTTGGAAGAAGATAAAAACTCTGTAGGGCCAGTAGGAAATCCTGACTATATGAAGATGATTCCGTCTTTAAAAGACATAGGTTAAAGTCACCCATTAAATAAAGTGTTTTCCCAGTGGAAGCCAGCTTTTCGATTGTATCATTAAAATATTCAATGAATTGATCTGGGGAGTTGTGTTGACGATAAATTATTCCACATATGACATTTTTTTGTTTCTCATGGGAAATTTCTATTCACAATGCTTGAAACGCCTCGCAAGAGACCCTTTCAAGCACTGTGTAATTAAGGTCTTCATTGATAAAAAGCGCGACGCCTCCTGACGCCAATGGTGTGGCTACGTATTCAAAAGTGTAACCTGGAATTTCAAAGCTAATATTACCAGTCGTTTTAGTTATTTTCGTTTCTGTAAGTCCAATAATATCAAACTGAAAATCCATTTCTGATAAGTAGTTGGTTTGGAGTTTTTCGAGATTGTGATTTGAACTGATGATATTGTTATGAAAAATCGAAAAGCTCGTTTCCATCACGTCTCTTATTTGGGTATTTAGGTTTTTATTAAAATTATACGGAGAATAATAACGGCTGTAGATTTGTTGATTGAATAAGTTATTGTTGGTATTTAAACTGTCATCAAGATTTGAGTTTAGTCTGAAAAGATCAAGATCATGCAAACCATTTAGGTTTTCGTGTTGTCTCTTAGTTGGTAGCTGATTTTGGATCAGAGAGTTGTTAAATTGCCCGTGGTAGAGAGTTAAGTTGCCAGTGAAGTTATAATATGGAAGTTCTTTAAGAAAGAGTTTTCTATTTCGGTCCTGTTCTTTGTATCTTCTGGTTCGCTTTTGCATCTAAAGCGCGTTTGAAATCATATCATAGGTGAGATATTAAAAACAAACAATAATATTGTCACTGCGTTACTTATCTCTATCCTTGGGTAAATGCGTTTAGGTCCTCCATATTTGCAAATTTGCGGATCGGTGAATTCTCTGATTTCCTGAGAAATACGGAACCATTTTTCGCCCAGCAGAATTTGAAGCTGTTGGCTTCTTTGAACCTCTTTGCCTCATACAGAAGGGTTTGTAGACGAGGTGTCAGATGATCGTAAATATTGAGGTGACTCACATCAATCTCTGAAGAAAATCCTGGTTGCTGTGCTGTTATGTTCCTTATTGTCTTCCCAGACGCCATGATTTTTTCCTCTACCATCCTTCTAACAAATTTACAAACTACTGCGTCTGGTCGATTCGAGGGATTCCTTGATGGAACTCGGTGGGCAATGTCAATGTCATTTATCGAAACATCTTTCACTCCCATCTGATGAAATAGTTGAAGACACAGGTTAGCTGTCTGCTCGGTCGTCTCTTTCGCTGCCAGCAACGTTGACCGATAACTTTGATGTTAAATTGGTAGCTGTACATTTCGAAGCCATCAATTGACTGCGAGATTCTATCGCAAGCATCTGAAATTACATTTAGCCTTGAGCTTAAACGCTTCAGTTCTTTCGATGCGTACTTTTTAAACGCTTCAAAATCATCGCATTGAGCTGAAACAAACTCAACTGATCGTTCTTTGCCCACAGTGTCGCCGCCATGTTCGATGCCAGCATCATGATTGATTTCTTCACGTCGATGTCCAATTTCCTCAGTCAATTTATCCAGTTGCTTCTTGAGATCTTCAATTTCATTCCTTAACTGCTGATTTTCTTTTTTTAGTTGGTTTTCTTTACCAGTCATAATTAGGGAAACTTAATAGAATAAAATAACACAGAGCGAGAAATATGCGTCCGCTCAGCTCAGCGTCCGCGTCCGCTTAACATTTTATTTAGCGACATATACTGTTAACATTTCGGCTTTACAACACTATTGTTTTCTGGAACTACAACTGATATGTCTCGATATCAAGTATTAAATTTGTTTCCCCGCTGACCACTCGTATTTTGGTCTTTTCTTCTTCCCCCCGCTCGTCGCCCGTGATGTAGTAACTCCCTCGAAAGTTTCTCGCGCGACGCCATTTTGGTTTAACTAAATTGTTTACATTAACAGATGGACCAATCACGCGCTAGCTTTCTTGACAGTCTGTCATGTGTGCTGGCGCGTTACAGAAATAAGCATCACCCACTTTGGTTCGGAATTTCTGGCTATGTTAAGCATTTTGGTGGCTGGAAATAAATTTCATTACTAAGAGACCATTTGATTAGACCATCAAGATCTCTTTGGATGGCAGTAAAATCACTGTTGACATTTTGGATTATACTTAAAGTAATTTGGAGTCATCCGCGAACATTGCCAATGTGTAGTGACTTATAGCATTTGGCAAGTCATTAATATAACATACACTAAGAACAAAATATCCCAGTATGGATCCTTGAAGGACACAAGACTTTAACGAGTTCCAGTTTGAGAAAGATCCATTGATGACCAAGCGTTGCATTCGATGGCTGATTATCATAACCCCTTTTTGCGGCAAGTAAACTAATCGGCTCGGCTTGGCTTACTGCACACCTGTCTTAAGTGTGACTTTCTGAATGAAAAAATTCTCAATTGCCCCTTACTAATTAACTTTGTTCGACACCACTTTCCACTCTAAAAAAGGCTTAAGAGAAGGGTAATTGTGCCAAAATTGTAGTTCAAAGTTTTTATTAAAATCCTGACAATAGAAATCAAGATATAAAGAAATGTTGGCAAAATCAATTGATTGTAAAATTGACATTTTTTAAACGCTTTCAATTGGTTTCAACTGATATGTTCCAAAACAGCAAAGGTTTTGAAAACTATTCACACCTGGTATGTTTGGTAAAAACAGCCAGCCGCTTACACTTGAGCTAAAATTTGCGTTGGTGCTCACTTTTTGAAATTAAAGTCATTCACCGTAGTCAAATAATGCATGTGAGTCTGAAAAAAAATGCATATGACGTTTTCACCAAGTCTATTCAATATTCTCGCCTCACTTTTAAGATTCCCGAAGTTACAACAGAAGTGCAAATTAAAGTTATTCTCAACTGGCGACTTTGGCTTTTAAATCTTAGACAATTCTCCACCCTTAAGATTTAGAGGTTACAATTATATCCTATCTGTTTTGAAGGCACTTTAAAGATTTGAAGGCGCTCTTAAGAATACTTTTTTTTGAGGAATAATGGATAACATGTCAGGTCTTGCCGCAGCTGATTTCGTTATTCCATTAGAAGTCACCTCTAAGACATGGCACAGTACTTAATATAAAATTCTAAAAATGCTGAAGAATTTTGATGCTTTTGACACTCTCCTCTTGCTCTCCGCTCTTTCACTTACACAGCCAACGCGTGCATTAATTTTGCTTTGCATCACTAGCATCTCATTCAATTCCTCGCCTGTATAAAACACAGATTAATGGAAAATGTTTTAGTCTTAAAAAACGAAACATGTTCTGAAGTTAAAAAGTGTTCATCTCAACCCCATTCGTATTCCTACGATACCAAGTATGACGTCACAGAACTCTAGCACGGTCAGGAGACTGGCACCGACACAAAGACCAACTTGACCGCCGATTTCGCCTGAGAATAAGAAAAAGAAAAAATTCATTCACGTGCATGAAAACAGCAAAGGCTCGAGGTGATGCACCAGGGCTTTAGCGTGAAATTTATGGCGTCTTAATAAGTAACGGAGTGCAGTAGAAGCACAAGTTTAAATATGAAATAGACACTTATCCTCAAAGATTAAGAAGAGAGTTAATGTTTACATATGAAGAGATGAACTTACCTAACAAACTTTCCAATTCATAGGCCGGTGTTTCCTCAATAACCTGGTAATTCAAATCCTGGAAATAAACACGCAGCTCTAGAAAATTCTGCCTGCCAGTGCAAAAATATAAATACTTATTGAATAAATAAGAATGAGGTGGATGCAGTTCAATCAAATGAGTTAATAATTGATAAATAGAAATCCATTATTTGATCAAATACCAAAAGGTGATAATGAACAAGTTGTTAACATACAAATTTGCTAAACTTTAAAGTTAAGTCAGTCAGCGTGAAAAATCCCTCCTTTCCACTACTTACTAAACTTGCTCTCTTTTCCCTGAGTTCAACTTCTTGGGTGCTTTATATACATATTCAATTGGTATGTTTACAGCCGGGTGGGATTTTGAAACTCTTTTTTTATTTTACAATGTTTATTTCAATTCAGTTGCTTACATTGACCTTGAAAAGCCCCATAAGAGAGGTGGTCAGTTAATATTATCATTATTACTATTTTTAATACTTACATTAGCTGTGATTGTGACACAAAATTTTTTTATCTTTTTTTTTCCTCAAGATCGAGTTTACAGGAAAAGTGAGTAGTTACAATCAGAGTTACAATCTTTACCGTATATATATATAGTTTCCATAAACGTTAGGCTTTGTCCAACAAACTTAATTTACATACGATTACCTTAACCATTCTTGTGTTTGTTTGATTTTTTCTGATGTCCAGTTAGTGTTATTCTCCCCTGCTTTGAAATACCGTGACAAATATCCTTCGCTAGGGAACGCAGCGTATGACAAGTAGGGTTCATAGGAAATCGCATTACAGGGCACTGGACAATCACACTGATTTTTCTTTAAGGTTCGAAAGTTAGCTGGAATATCAAATAATGGGGAGGCAATGGCATCAGGTAGCTCAAATATTAGAAATACATCATAACACCCAGGGCGGATAACGCTATCCAGCAGAAAAGTGTTACAAAAAAAAAAAAAAAAAAAAAAGAAAAGAAAAGAAAAAAAAAAAAACAGACGTGCTGCGCTATCCAACAAATGAAGATTTATCCGGTGGATAGTGAACAACCGAGGCCAGAAGTAAATTAGAAACATATATGATATACACGTACCATAAGCTTTTATAAAGCAAGTCAACTCTTTGTTGGTTTTGCAGGGTTTGGTGCCGTTCAGTCCTATTTAAACAGGTTGTAATAAAAGTGTTTACGATGCGAACTTATGGCACTGGCTAGTGCTTGAACAGCAATGTGTGTTGAATTACTAAAGGCACGCTCGCACAATGAATATAAAGGTAAGTTAATTGAATAGTTATGAGTTGCCCTTAAGATTCATGCTTTACTTTTCAAAGTCATTGTGGATATGCGCTTATTTCCACCAACACCTAATTTCACAACGGTGGAGAATACGTCATTCTTCCTTCTCTGTTGTCTGCCTCACTCCTTCGTATCAACCAAAAAATTCGTCTTGACCTTAAAATTTTTCAGAAGTTTATTAAGGATATGATTGGTGTATAAATGGCATACATTTTTAAATTGCCACTTTTTTGGTAAAAAGTCTATCCAACCTTTCAACCTTGCAGAGAGAATTCCAATCAGCTTTACCACCCTCTTGACCAAATTTATTTTACGTCACCTCTTCCTTGCACACAGGAAAGTATCAGTTCGGGTATGACTTTTTTTCATGAAATGCTAGCAAACTTCCAGAAGATTTCCAAGTGAAATCCCCCCCTCCCCTTGAATGTCAATTTGCAAGTGTATTATCGTCCCAAACGAGAAATTACCAAGGTAAGCTCAGTAATTAAGAAGAGCCTATCATTTGAAAACTCACCAGATATTTGCACGCTTCTACAACCGCATTCTTTTATGGAAAACCTGGTCTCACAGAGCGACATACATGATGAAACAGTGTACGTCGTATAATCAGATATGGCATCCATCTTTCCATCGTAGCAGTTGCTTTCGTACGGTTTTGGGAGACTTATGACCTGCAAAAAATAGACGGAGAGATGGAAAAGCTCTAGGTTTTTTTGTTACAGAACGAGAGAATACTTAAATGTTGTTTCATAGTTTTTTTGTTTGACTTATAATTTGATACACCAAATTCGAGCTTTTAGTGGTCCAGGAGCCCTCTTCGAGGCAGACCCAAGGCTTCCAAAAAATGTTCAACACCGAAACAAAACAAAACAAAAGGAAAGAAGGCAAGAAAGGAAAACCTCGCGGTGTTTCAGATAGAAAAAGAGGTGCAGGAAAAGAAGAATTGCTGCCTTCTTTTTTGGACACGTTTCCGTTCTTCCCAATAAATGTTAAGATCGGTCAAAAAAACCGCTTGAAACTTAACTTTAAAGAGTTGCTCGCAAATAGGGGCGAAATTTAACGATACACTTAAGTCTAAAGGAACAAAACACATGGTTGTTCATTTGAAGCCTTGTCGAACGATATGAGGAAACTTGAACGAAACAAGCCCTACGGATTGCATTCTTAGGACCTAAAACCCTATATCCTCAAAGTTTTATTTAAAATCGTTGACTTTTACGTGCTTGACATGTGCTCAAAACCTACACTTTGCTTACAAATTTCTCAGAGAGGCAAACCTTGCTAGAACCGCAAAAAGTTGTTCTTAACGCCAAAAGTTGCCGAGCTCAATCGGGACAGGCCCATTCGTTTGTTACGGTTAGTATGTTTAAACAGACCTCTTATCCTTCCCTATATTACATACCCTCTTTTTTCGTATCCCTGCAAATACGCTTGTGCCAGGACCAACAGAAAATCCAAGCCGACCAACTATAGGCAGAGTATTCTGACGATGAACACGTATCTTGAGGCCGGCGCTAATTGCTTGAATTCCAAAATATTCATATTGTTGTACGTTTAGTATCAAATAAAGTCCAGAGTCTGCTCCTGCCTCATTGACCTTCAAAACACTTTGACCATCCTTCCCTGAAAAATCTGAGAATCAATCACTCAATCCATCCACCCATTGGTCCGTCCGTCCGTCCGTACGTAAGTCCCTCAACTTATCCATATTAATAATTTATAATCATTTAAAGTAAACAATTTTACCGAAGATGAATTTTTCCGTCAAACAGTAATCGTAACAGTGATCTACACGGATTAAATCTTTGCGTCTTGGCAAACGTTCCAGATCACTCGGTTGTAATTATAGATCGACTTGAAAACAATAACAAAATAACGCAAATTACAGCCCTGATGCTTCGAAAATAAAGTATCTGCATAAATAATGAAGACCTTGACGGATTCTCAAAGAAAAAAAGAAGGCTTGTTAAGATCAAGAAATCCCAAAACATACCTGAATTAAATGTGTGGCAAAGCCCCATATTGGTCAAAACTGGAGTGAAATTCCTGTAATCGCAGGTCTGTTTACCGCCCCACAGACAAGAATGCATAGTATCATTGATTTGATGTCCCGCATCGAATAAAAATTGTGTATTGTTGGTTATTGTGCTGAAGTCTACATTTTCATATGTAGCTCCACCCAGTCCTAACGAAGTCAAATTTTTAACAACAGAACTTCTGAACATGTTGAAGTTGCAAATAGTCACGGCTGGAAAATCCGGCATCGAATCGTATTTCAAACTGACTTTTGTGGTGTTTGGGAAGCTGAAATACTTCTTTAACATGCTGATGGACTGATATGAAAAAAACGCAATTGCCGTCAAAAGAAACACAGCCCAGAGAATGCGACGAATCCTCGATTTACCGGTAACCACATAAGATAAACCATGAAGAGTTGTATTTTCCACGAAACCATTCCATAGTTCTCTGATTGCAGACGTCTTGGACGCGTCTTCCCCAGACACGTCGTTACACTCGGGGTTGATTTTGTTCCTCGCTGTGCCATTTATTTTTGAATCAAAATTAGGTGGTAATCCTTCAGTTCCTGACATTTCTAAAACAACAGAACCGCCAGGTTGAGTTTTCGAAGCATTCATTTTTGTCTTTTGTTTTTAATCAGAATAACCCAACTTTGAAATGTAGCATTGCCTGCTTGTATGCCTGCGGTGTTTTAAATGCCAATAGGAGTAGTTTATCTGCTATCACGAGGGCCAGACCAATCACACAGCGGCATTTTGTATCACGTGATAAAATTTGAATATTTTTACTGTCGCATTTGAAATTTTCGTGGCCGTGTCGAGTTGTCGTGCCTTAAGCTTTGGATCCCTGTCATATAACAGAAATGATATCGTCAAAATCTTAATTACAGTCGTGACCGGCTGGCGACTATTTACAAAACATTCACTTCTTCGTAAAACCAACAGCTGGATACACAATAATGAAAATGCAAAAGGAAAAGGAAAAAAATGAAAAGCAAGGTGGCATACAAATCAGTTTTGACGATCCTCATTTGACAAAATGGAATGAAATCGAGAAAAATAGATCTCATTTTATTTTGAGTCATTAATGCTACAGGGCTTTTGCCAAGGTCAGGTTTTAAAACCTTTAGTTGGCGCCACGAATCCTACATTTTTAAAATTTATTTTTTTAATTTAACAATTTGCCAAAGGCAGGTAGATTTACAACAGGACAATGTTGCCCCCTACTAGGTAAATTACCTTTCTCCATCCCCTACAAACAGACAAAATTGAAACACAACCCACTTACTAGGAAATAACAAAATATCTAATCATTAAAACGAAAGAGAAAAAGAAAAAAAAAACTAATTGATTAATATGCATGCAGAATTAAGAGCATTGAAACGACGACATTTTACACAAACTATTTTAAAAGAACGGATGTCGTCTTGATTGAAAACTTTGCTAAGTCTTAGATAAAAGAAAGATTTTAATTTTTTGACGAAAGACGGTAGTTCCTTATACTTTAAGTAATTTGGAGTCATCAGCGAACATTGCCGATGTGCAGTGACTTAAAGCATTTGGTAAGTCATTAACATACACTAAGAACAAAATGGGTCCCAGTATGGATCCTTGAGGGACACTAGACTTTAACGGGTTCCAGTTTGAGAAAGATCCATTGACGACCACGCGTTGCATTCGATGGCTGGGGTAGTTTTCAAACCAAGCGAGAAGAGGACCATGCACACCAAACCAACTTAGTTTCTGAAGCGGTTTGGTGAGGCAGACAGTCAAATGCCTTTGCAAAGTCCAACAGAATCAGATCAGTCTCTAGACCAGCACCCAGATGTTTACCAATTTCATTGTGCGCTAAGAGGAGTTGACTTACACAAGATTTAATCCTGAATCATTTTTCCCCCTAAGCAATGTTATTTACCAGATGAAGTTTGGCAAGGTTCAATTTGACTTAAAATTAGTGATTTCCTTCACTGGCATTTAACTTAACAGTAAGAAAGCTTAGTGTTTTAATGATAGATTTTCTTTTTTCAAGCATTTTGTCTTAAAAGGGCCATTGAAAATTACTAAATTGACACCATGTAACTTTTTTTATCTATTTAAATGTATCTACTTACCAAAGTTGTCCAACGCTCTTCGGTAAGCTCAAAGAAATTGTTACTAAACAATACATGGAGCGGACAAATTAGGACATCTCTGCAAATAAGTTTTCAATCTTATTTTCAGAGTTTTTCATAGAGGCAAGAATGGCTAATCGATTTATTTAAGAAATAGGATTTCCGATATTCTCTTAATTACTTTGAACTATTCTAAAAGTCAATACCAATGAATCGTGTTCAATAATAACGAATGGCAGTGCTTGCTCTTGCCAAACACATTTCAATCCCTCAAGTCAGCTCCTTGGAAATTCTCAATCGCCTACGGCAATGCGTATCTAACTCGAGTATGTTATCAGGCCTGGAAAAGCGTTGAAATTAGGGGAGAGAAATGAAGACTAGTTACAGACCAAGAGAATATTAACTGGTTGATATTCTCTTGTTAGAGACTGATACCCCATTACACCATTAGTTATTGAATTCAGTAACTTTTTCATACTTGGTGACTTGAGTTTACAGATAGCGATATAGTAATACTGAGGAATGATTTTGGTTACTTGGCTTGGGAGAGGTGAGTTGGGGCGGCATTGCCAGGGATGACATGACCTATATTAAAAAGGCTTTACCGCAGTCGTTTTTCTTTCTATTGCGTATGACCATTCGCGAGTATGATACTGATTGCTTTCTTAACTAAAGAAGTTATGCTTTGGATAAACATTTATGATTAAAGAGAAGACTCTCGTTAAGTTTAAAATGACCCAACTGGTTAAGCTTGTGATTCACGAGGTTACTCGCAGCCACACAAGTTTGCTGAAGCTTATGATTTTGGGGGCGATTTTTGTGTCTAGAGGCTAAATTAAATCTCTTCGGCTACAGAGGCCTCATTTCTATTTTTTTATAGTAGTATAGGGCCTCACTGAAAACTATCATACGGTTCAGTCTGTGAGTTTATCTAAATCCCAGCCGTATCCCGACGATAGTAACTATGACGTCAAAGAATTCAAGCACGGTCAAGAGACTGGCGCCAACACAGAGACCAACTTGACCGCCGATTTTACCTGTGGTGAAAAGCAAGCATTAAGATCTTAGTCTTTTTGACCTCCAACAACAATTATAATGTGATAAACTAGGATCTTTCTATAATGTTCATTGTCACTGTTATAGGCATAGCTGTCAAGGTTTTGAAGAGGAGAGATACTATGGGTTCCTTCATGATCGATAGAAAGGAGGAAATTGTCGGCACGATATAGAAGTAATTTGCAGTTGAGAAACACCGGGATTATAACCAAAGTGACGTCACTTTTGGCCTGGACCTTCTCCAGAGGCCTGGCAACTAAGCACCCAAAGTGACAATTAGAAGGGAGCAGTCAGTCTGACAGAAAATTAAGCCATCCCGGAGCTTTGCTCAACGAAAAATTTGATTGCTCTGAAATGACTAAATCTTTTTATCCCACACGACTGGACCATGTACTTAAAGAGATCTTAAGTCCAATTTGTGGATCTTACGCCGACACGTACCTAACAGACTTTCATAGTTAAAAGCAGGTATTTCCTCGATGACTTGGTAATTAAGTTCTTGAAAATACACGCGCAGTTCCAGCAGATTGTGGCTGTTGAAGTATTAAATATGAAACAAAAAGTTAAGTGCAGGTAGCAGGCTACAGGGATGGAAAATCTTAATCCTCTATTTAATTTCACTGACGGTCCAAATGGCGTGGGGCCGTGGACAACGCTCCACTCGTATCCCGCGATCAGATTTTTTCAGGTGTCATTTCCCAAGTGAAATGTCAGCATTTTCTGACTTTACTGGCTGTTCATATAATTTCAGTTTGGTGTTATATGTACCTGACCCCAAGAGACTTATCAATGAAACTGCCTCATCACAAATCATTGAGAGAAATTGTATTTCGAACTTTGTGTGATAGCGAATAACAAAATGACCTCACAGGTGAAAAAGCACGACGGACCTCGAACCCATGCCCCCTTGAAGCTCGGTTAGGTGTTACTACCAACTGAAATATTGACACTCCTCGCTGGGAGTTAGGAAAATTATCTTTATAAATTCAGTTTCACCTGTGAGGATCGATATCATTCTGTTACTTGATATAACACTAAGCTCGTCATTGAAATGAGAGAAATATGGCTAATTGAGTCGCATCTGGTCATATTTAGGGGCTTAGGATATGCCACGAAACTTTACTTCAAGGTCCACTTCTAAGTAGCTTATTTTTAACTCTTAATGGAGGCCATCTGTAGTTAAAATTAAAAACAGTATTAGGAACCGGAGGATAGAGGATGTTTTCATCTACTACCGTCCTCTCCTACCGTGAATCTGACCACTGTGTACCTTATTCAGTGTCCAAGCTCGTTATTAACCTCCCCAAACTTTTATCAACCCTTGTATACCTAATTCAGGGTCAACGCTCGCTAACTTTTGTTTGACTTTTGCTCATCCACTTTAACTTTGGTTGCTCCAGGGCTCAACAAAATTTTCACCTTTCGAAACTAAAATACGATTACCTCAGCCTTTCTTGTTCCTCTTCCAATGAATCTGTTGTAAGATTGGGTCCTCCTTGTTCTTCGATATAATTAACGATAAAATTGTCACTCGGAAAGTCAGCGTATGACAATATGGGATTGTAGGAGATTGAATCACAAGGTACTGGGCACTCACACTGGTCATCTATTCTACTGTGAAAGTTACCTGAAAGAAGCAATAAAAACATTTTTATATAAGTGAATTTTTGACCTTCCAAATACAAGCGAGTTCAAAACGCCATTGTCATGACATTGTGAATGGGCTTGTGGAGGGCCAGGGAGGAATCCTCCTGTAAATGCTTTGAGGGCATGCAGTGAGAGGCTAAGGAAGTTTCCCAGTCACTTCTTGGCCTGCCTCATTCATTTGTGATGACAGGCAGTTGGAATTAGAGAGTAAATGAATCTTGATGAAACACTTGGTATACCCTCGTTTGTCACTCTCTTACTCAAACCTTCTATGGCCAAGCGATTGAAGGTGTACATTTCAGTTACAGTCGCACGGTAAGATCTGGGTACGAGATTATTCGTTCCCAAATACACGCGATTTAACAGATTTTATCATAACTATTATAAAACCAAGTAATATAAATTTCTACATACTCATCTCTTTCTCTAGACAATTCTTGATTTCGCGCAATCCACACACTTTGGTGTTGTTTATTTCTGTGAAAAAGTCGAGAGAAGCGAAAATTAACAAGAGCACTGATTTTCTTATAGGTTTTTATTTTTATAAAAAATGAACCCCAATTTTTCCGCGCACGCAGGCATCTATTAATCTGATAGGTAAGTGGTCTCCTCGCCTCAAGCCCCCAGTTGAAGTCCTATCTCTCGCTCGTGTACCCATGAGGAATGGGTCGAAATGATGGCTTACACTTCTTAATACGTACCTGTAAACTTTGGTATGATATTATTTATGCGCAAAAGTATGTAAAGCTATTCACAGGCGCTCAATTTACATTTAGCAGTATGATTTTTAATAAGTCATAACCCAATTACAAGAGTATTATTGATACGAAGTAATGGTTTTGCAAAAATGACAAGCTAAAATGTTGAGAAGGACAAACACTGGTACAAATGCATTGCTTGATTTTTACCGTCATGAGTTACTCATGAATACCTGTCATCTAAAAGACCTAACAGTTTGAGCAAGAAAAAGAATTATAGAACCTGAATTAAGCTGAGTTTTTGCTTGGGGATCAAGATGTATAATTTGTAACGAATTACATCATATCAGAAGCCCCATCGGCTCCTGAGCATTAGCAACTAGTCACTGAAGTGGGAGTGGTGAAGCAGCGAGGTTGATATTCACCACTAGCCACTGACTCTGAGGCGATTTATCGTCTTAGTAATATTAGATTAAAATATTAAAATCTGTCTGATGATCGCGTAAGCGTGAAACTCATCAAAGTCACAGAAAAGTTGTCTTATTGATTTGTCCAACTTTCAGATATACCACACTCTGCGAACATATCAAGCATTATAAAGACAAGATAGACTATAATCAAGATTTACATATATATTGATAAGATCCCCAACGGGCATAAAAGTGTGCGTCCTAGGCCACTGATCTGATGAGCGCCTGCTCACAGACTAACAAATGGTTAGCGAAACGCACCTTTAATGACTTACCTGGCATCAAAGCGTCCCTGCATCCACACTTATTAATTACAAAGTTGGTTACACAAATCTCTTGGCAAGAAGGAATCGTGTACTTGTTATAGCCAGGTATGCTAGTAATCTCTTTGTCATAGCAGTTTCCCTCATAAGGTTTTGGAAGATTGAGTGTCTGTGGTTAAAAAAAAACTTCAATTTCAGAGCAATTTTCAAATGAGTTTCGAAAGAATTTCGAGTTTCTGTGGTTAACTTCATCATGCGCCTTATACTTTGTCCATAAAACTAATCTACCTCCGACGAGAGAGAATCTTGAGAGTGCGCGAGATACTAACGAAACTATCCATCGAAAATGAATCCTAAAGGGCACAAGAGACTAACGTAACATTCCATATCAATGAGAACTCTGAAAGTGCTCGAGATGCTAACGTAACAATTCAATAAGAAAGAATCCTAAAAGTGTGCAAGAGACTAACGCAACAATTCAATGAAAAAAATCCTAAAAGTGCGTGAGATGCTAACGTTACAATCCAATGAAAAAGAATGCTTAAAGTGCGTGAGATACAAAACGTAACAATCCAACGAAAGAGAATCCTTAAAGTGCGCCAGATACTAAGATAGCAGTCCATTGAAAGAAGATCGTAAAAGCGCACGAGATAATAACGGAACAATCCATTGAATAAGAATTCTAAAAGTGCGCGAAATACCGACGTTACAATCTACTAACAAAGAATCCTTAAAGTTCACCAGATACGAATGTAACAGTCCATTGGAAGATAATCCTAAAAGTGTGCGAGATACTAACGTAACAATACAATGAAAGAGAATCCTTAAAGTGCGCCATATACTAAGATAGCAGTCCATTGAAAGAAGATCGTAAAAGCGCACGAGATAATAACGTAACAATTCACTGAATATCAATTCTAAAGGTGCGCGAGATATCGACGTAACAATCTAATAAAAAAAAATCCTGGAAGTGCACCAGATACAAACGTAACTGTCCATTGGAAGATAATCGTAAAAGTGCGCGAGATACTAATGTAACATCACAAAGAAAGAGAATCCCAAAAGTACACGAGATACTGACGTAACAATCCAGTGAATGAGAACTCTAAAAATTCAAGAGATGCTAACGTAACAATCGAATGAAAAAGAATCCTAAAACTACGCGAGAAACTAACGTAACAATCGAATGAAGGGGAACTGCAAAAGTTCTCAAGACATCCTAACTTTTCATCACCTTTCTGCTCGAAAATGTATAGATGTCGTGAGAGGAAACTTAAAGGTTAAAGCAGTTCCACATGTTAAGCCCATGAGCTGACAAAACTAAGTTCACATAAAAAAATCCGACAGTATTAGACAATGTAATCTATTACCCGTAATTTTTTTAACGCTGCAAATGTACTCGTACCAGGACTCACAGCAAAGCCAAGCTGAGAGACCAGTGGCAGAGTCTGCTGATCATGAACAAGAACTTTGAGGCCGGTAGCATATGATGCCGTCCCGTAATATTCCTTTTGTCCAACGTTCAATATCAAGTGTAATCCGCGATTGGAACCTCCCTGCTTCACTCGCAGTATAGGTTGACCATCTCTTCCTGGAAAAATATAAAAAAATAACCAAAAAAGTTGCAAAAGAATACACAGAGAAAGAACAAAAAGCCTTACAGAACGCTCCGTCATGTACGGTAAGTTCCCGAAAGGAAGATAAATGATACAGAAAGAGAATTGGTCGCAACATATTTGCCCGTATCAATGTAGTCTCCTTCGCTGCCGTTCAGGGGTGTCATACAACATTCTACTAAGCCTGGATCAGCTGCTTCCACTCGAGCAATGCTTCTCTCCTAGGATGGGCCAATCACAGACAGCCTTCCATTTTTGGAAAGCTTCTCGCGCCAGTTTTGCTCCTTGAGACTAGTCCAATCACGCCTTGATTGTGCTCTGTTCTGTTGCAAAGCGCGCTACTTCTTTCAGTTCGGGTTCCTTTTCGTTGTTCTGTATCCGGTTGAAGCTAAGAGCTCGTTTTTATTTTCGTGCTATAGGTTATGCCAGACTTGTGGGTCAATGTTTAAAAAAAAAAAAGCCAGGAGATCCATAGTGGACCCTTGTCTTCCCCTAAAAACTATTTTCGTGCAATCATGGGATAAATTTGACAGAAGCACCTGCTTAAGTACTTTGATCAAAAGGAATAATCATTGGGCATCATTTGTTTATTTGCAATTTAGCTTCACTGAAATGATAAAATCCGAGGTGGAAATTTAATACGGTTCTTTTCAGAACCACCCCGGTTCTTTTCAGAACCACCATATTTATAAAAGTCAATGACCAACACTGTGTGTCCTTTTATTTGCTTGAAATCGTACCAATAACTGTGATAGAAAAAATTATTTCGGGAAAATATTCGCCTATAAGACGCACCCAAACTTTGGCGGTAATTTTTAGTAGAAATTAGGAAATTCTTGAAAAAAATGGTGCGCCTTATAACCGAATAACTACGGTATGTTGTTTAAAATTATATATATATATATATATATATATACATACTTTTGTTATAACAGGTTATAGATGTGAAAAGTTGAAGCAAAAACTAAGGTTTTTTTTTAGGTGTATCGATCTTAGTTATCCCTTCAAAATTTATTATTTTGCATTTGGTGTTTCTCAAGTAAAGTCATTAATAAAAGAAAAACTATGACCACTGTTTAAACAGGTGACAAACTAAAAAATAAATAAATGTTATGCACATGCTCCAGCCACGCAATACGTTCGTCCTTTCTTCTAAATTTCTCCTTTCTCGATCATAGTTGCCGACATGTATTCACAGTTTTCTATGTCACGGCTATGTAACATGATCGTTTTGGTCGCTCGCTTAATGGGGACACTTTTTGATCGCCAAATAAAGGAGAACTTGTTAGGCGCTAAGGTCAATTATTTCTAATTTCAAATATAGCTATCAACCAGAAAATGAAAAAAAAAAAAACTTGTCACAGACACTTTAAGCAGGTAGCGTCTTTTCAAATTTAGTTGGAAATGAAAAGCAGATGTTCATTTTTTTTATGTACGATAAATGGAGCTTGCCGTGAAATATTTCAATTATCTTGCGGTGAGATGTATTTCAATGATGATAATCCGCTTAATAATTAATAACTTTTCATCTTCCGCACTGAATTAATAATCAGTTAACTTATATGAAGGGCAGGCCGTTTTTTTGAAGACTATTAAATGACCAAGAGAATATTAAATGGTTGATATTCCCTTGTTATAGACTGATACCCCATTACACCAGCAAAACACGTTTAGTTAAGCTGAGTTTGACTGAATGAAAATCAGAAATAGATAACTGGAGAACTAGTTTATTCTATTCCATAGGTTTCAGGTATACACTAGCTTGTCTTTTTAATGTGCTTACTGGAGGAAACAAACCCCTTGTTTAACAAAACAGCTTTAAAACATGTTTAAGCTCTGGCGTAAAAGGAATATGAGAAAGATAATGAAGATGAATATTCCATTTTGACCAGCTTCCAGTTGCCTTGACGACTCGGTTGGTTAACCCACTACACCGCTATTATGAAAGAGTCGTGGGCTCAAATCCCTTTTAGTTTATTTATTTTTCCTTTTCACCTTTCTTTTTTTTCAAGGTCTTATTCACCTTTGTATTTCCTCTAAAGAAAGCAAATCGTCGCTTTTATCTACCTACGGTAAAACATCAAGGTTTCGGAGACCACAGTGGATGCTCTAGTTGTCAATTCCTTTGCGTAACCAACCAAGCAACTTAATGTTGACGCATGACTGGATTCAAGTCCGTAATTTAATTATCCTTTACAGAATGGAAGTCACGTCGCCCCATTTCCAAGTCACCCCCCAGTCTTCCCTCAGTCACGTAAGTCTCAGGCTTAGGGACCTCACCACCAAGTAAAGCCACACAGATGTCACATCGCCAGTAATATTTGTTTCCTGAAAATTTGACAGACAGATTACTTATTGAATTAATGAACTCAACAACTTTTACAGACTTGTTGACTTGAGTTTACAGATAGTAACAGAGTAATATTGAGGAATGATTTTGGTTACTTGGTTTGGGGAAGGTGAGTTAGGGCGGCATTGCCAGGGATGACATGACGTTTTTCAAAAAGGCTTTACCGCAGTCGTTTGCTTTCTACTGCGTGTGACCATTCGCGAGTATACCGATTGCTTTCTAAACTGAAGAAGACATGCTTTGCTTAAACATTAATGATTACAGAGAAGACTCTCGCTATGTTTAAAATGCACTAACTTGCTAACCAACCAGCTAAGCTTGTAATTCACGGGGGTTATTCGCAGCTGCACAAGCTTGCTAAAACGCCTAGCTTAGCTTGTGATTCTGGGGGCCAGTTGCATGTCTAGAGGTTAAATCAAAGACCTAAACTTTGCAAGTCAATCTCTTTGGCTTGAAAGGTCTGATCATCTGGTGATGCATGGATCGGTGAAAGCCTGAAGATTTGTTTCAATTTTTTACATTAGTTTAAGGCCTCACTGTAAGCAGCAATGGGCTCCTGCTGTATGCTATTATATCGTTCAGTGTGTGATTTTATCTAAATCCCAGCCGTATCCCGACGATAGCAATTATGACGTCAAAGAATTCAAGCACGGTCAAGAGACTGGCTCCAACACAGAGACCAACTTGACCGCCGATTTCACCTGTGGTGAAAAGAAGATATGAAGATCTTAGTCTTTTTGACCTCCAGCAACAATTATGTGATAGACTAGGATTCTTTTTCTAAATGTTCATTCTCACAGTTATAATAAAGCTGTCAAGCTTTTAAAGAGAGAGAAACCATGGGTACCTTCATGATCGATAGAAAGGAGCAAATTGTTGGCACGATAAAGAAGTAATTTACAGTTAAGAAACACCGGGATCATTACCACAGTGACGTCACTTTCGGCCTGGACCTTTCTCAGAGGCCTGGCAACTGAGCACCCGACCGTAAAGAGGATCTTTTCTAAAAGTGACAATTACAAGTGACATATTGTAAAATATAAGATATATCTAACATATTCTATTGACATATTCCAAAATTAAGCCTCCCAGAGCTTTTCTCAACGAAAAATTTGATTGCTCTGTTATCACCAAATCTTTTTGTCCCAGACGACTGGACCATGCACTTTGAGAGAACTAGTCCAATTTGTGGATCTTACGCCGACACGTACCTAACAGACTTTCATAGTTATAAGCAGGTATTTCCTCGATGACTTGGTAATTAAGTTCTTGAAAATACACGCGCAGTTCCAGCTGATTCTGGCTGTTGAAGTATTAAATATGAAATAAAAAGTTAAGTGCAGGTAGCCGGCTACAGGGATGGAAAATATTAATCCTCTATTTAATTTCACTGACGGTCCAAATGGCGTGGGGCCGTGGACAACGCTCCACTCGTATCCCGCTATCAGATTTTTTCAGGTGTCATTTTCCAAGTGAAATGTCAGCATTTTCTGATTTTACTGGCTGTTTATATAATTTCAGTTTGGTTTTATATGTACCTGACCCCAAGAGACTTATCAATGAAACTGCCTCATCACAAATCATTGAGAGAAATTGTATTTCGAACTTTTTGTGATAGCGAATAACAAAATGACCTCACAGATGAAAAAGCACGACGGACCTCGAACCCATGCCTCCTTGGAGCTCGGTTAGGTGTTACTACCAACTGAATTATTGACACTCCTCGCTGGGAGTCAGGAAAATTATCTTTCTAAATTCAGTTTCACCTGTGAGGATCGATATCATTCTGTTACTTGATATAACGCTAAGCTCGTCATTGAAATGAGAGAAATATGGCTAATTGAGTCGCATCTGGTCATATTTAGGGGCTTAGGATATCCCACGAAACTTTACTTCAAGGTCCACTTCTAAGTAGCTTATTTTTAACTCTTAATGGAGGCCATCTGTAGTTAAAATTAAAAACAGTATTAGGAACCGGAGGATAGAGGATGTTTTCATCTACTACCGTCCTCTCCTACCGTGAATCTGACCACTGTGTACCTTATTCAGTGTCCAAGCTCGTTATTAACCTCCCCAAACTTTTATCAACCCTTGTATACCTAATTCAGGGTCAACGCTCGCTAACTTTTGTTTGACTTTTGCTCAGCCACTTTAACTTTTGTTGCTCCATGGCTCAACACAATTTTCACCTTTCGAAACTACAATACAATTACCTCATGTATTCTTGTTTCTCTTCCAATGAATCTGTTGTAAGATTGAGTCCTTGTTGTTCGATGGAAGTTTTGATAAAATTGTTACTCGGAAAGTCAGCGTATGACAATATGGGATTGTAGGAGATTGAATCACAAGGTACTGGGCACTCACACTGGTCATCTATTCTACTGTGAAAGTTGACTGAAAGAGGCAATAAAAACATTTTCACCTTAGTGAATTTTTGACCTTCCAAATACAAGCGAGTTCAAAATCCCATTGTCATGACATTTTGAGAGGGCTTGTGGATGGGAGGAATCCTCCTGTAAATGCTTTGAGGGTATGCAGTGAAAGGCTAAGGAAGTATTCCAGTTACGTCTTGGCCTGCCTCATTCATTCGTGATGACAGGCGGTTGGAATTGGAAAGTAAATGAATCTTGATGAAACACTTGTTATACTCTCGTTTTTCAGTCTCTTACTCAGACCTTCTACGGCCAAACGATTGAAAGTGTACATTTCAGTTACAGTCACACGGTAAGATCTGGGTACGAGATTATTCGTTCCCAAATACACGCGATTTAACAGATTTTATCATAACTATTATAAAACCAAGTAATATAAATGTCTACATACTCATCTCTTTCTCCAGGCAATTCTTGATTTCGCGCAATCCACACACTTTGGTGTTGTTTATGTCTGTGAAAAAACCGAGAGAAGCAAAAATTAACAAGAGCACTGATTTTCTTATAGGTTTTTATAAAAAAATTAACCCAATTTTTCCGCGCACGCCGGCATCTATTAATCTGATAGGTAAGTGGTCTCCTCGCCTCAAGCCCCCAGTTGAAGCCCTATCTCTCGCCCGTGCACCCATGAGGAATGGGTCGAAATGACGGCTGACACTTCACAATACGTACCTGTAAACTTTGGTATGATATTATTTATGCGCAAAAGTGTGTAAAGTTATTCACAGGCGCTCAATTTACATTTAGCAGTATGATCTTTAATAAGTCATAACCCAATAACAAGAGTATTATTGATACGAAATAATGGTTTTGCAAAAATGACAAGCTAAAATGTTGAGAAGGACAAACACTGTTACAAATGCATTGCTTAATTTTTACCGTCATGAGTTACTCATGAATACCTGTCATCTAAAAGACCTAACAGTTTGAGCAAGAAAAAGAATTATAGAACCTGAATTAAGCTGAGTTTTTGCTTGGGGATCAAGATGTATAATTTGTAACGAAGTACATCATATCAGAAGCCCCATCGGCTCCTGTGCATTAGCAACTAGTCACTGAAGTGGGAGTGGTGAAGCAGCGAGGTTGATATTCACCACTAGCCACTGACTCTGAGGCGATTTATCGTCTTAGTAATATTAGATTAAAATATTAAAATCTGTCTGATGATCGCGTAAGCGTGAAACTCATCAGAGTCACAGAAAAGTTGTCTTATTGATTTGTCCAACTTTCAGATATACCACACTCTGCGAACATATCAAGCACTATAAAGAAAAGATAGACTATAATCAAGATTTACATATATATTGATAAGATCCCCAACGGGCATAAAAGTGTGCGTCCTAGGCCGCTGATCTGATGAGCGCCTGCTCACAGACTAACAAATGGTTAGCGAAACGCACCTTTAATGACTTACCTGGCATCAAAGCGTCCCTGCATCCACACTTATTAATTACAAAGTTGGTTACACAAATCTCTTGGCAAGAAGGAATCGTGTACTTGTTATAGCCAGGTATGCTAGTAATCTCTTTGTCATAGCAGTTTCCCTCATAAGGTTTTGGAAGATTGAGTGTCTGTGGTTAAAAAAAACTTCAATTTCAGAGCAATTTTCAAATGAGTTTCGAAAGAATTCCGAGTTTCTGTGGTTAACTTCATCATGCGCCTTATACTTTGTCCATAAAACTAATCTACCTCCGACGAGAGAGAATCTTGAGAGTGCGCGAGATACTAACGAAACTATCCATCGAAAATGAATCCTAAAGGGCACAAGAGACTAACGTAACATTCCATATCAATGAGAACTCTGAAAGTGCTCGAGATGCTAACGTAACAATTCAATAAGAAAGAATCCTAAAAGTGTGCAATAGGCTAACGCAAAAATCCAATAAAAAAAATCCTGAAAGTGCGTGAGATGCTAACGTTACAATCCAATGAAAAAGAATGCTTAAAGTGCGTGAGATACAAAACGTAACAATCCAACGAAAGAGAATCCTTAAAGTGCGCCAGATACTAAGATAGCAGTCCATTGAAAGAAGATCGTAAAAGCGCACGAGATAATAACGTAACAATCCATTGAATAAGAATTCTAAAAGTGCGCGAAATACCGACGTAAAAATCTAATAACAAAGAATCCTTAAAGTGCACCAGATACGAACGTAACAGTCCATTGGAAGATAATCCTACAAGTGTGCGAGATACTAACGTAACAATACAATGAAAGAGAATCCTTAAAATGCGTCAGATACTAAGATAGCAGTCCATTGAAAGAAGATCGTAAAAGCGCACGAGATAATAACGTAACAATCCACTGAATATCAATTCTAAAAGTGCGCGAGATACCGACGTAACAATCTAACAAAAAAAAAATCCTTGAAGTGCACCAGATATAAACGTAACTGTCCATTGGAAGATAATCCTAAAAGCGCGCGAGATACTAATGTAACATCACAATGAAAGAGAATCCCAAAAGTGCACGAGATACTGACGTAACAATCCGGTGAATGAGACCTCTAAAAATTCAAGAGATGCTAACGTAACAATCGAATGAAAAAGAATCCTAAAACTACGCGAGAAACTAACGTAACAATCGAATGAAGGGGAACTGCAAAAGTTCTCAAGATACTAATCCTAAAAGTAGAATTTGAAAATTTGCAGTGAACTCTAATGATATCCCGTAACTGATATCATCCTAACTTTTCATCACCTTTCTGCTCGAAAATGTATAGATGTCGTGAGAGGAAACTTAGGGGTAAAAGCAGTTCCACTTGTTAAGCCCATAAGATGACAAAACTAAGTTCACATAAAAAAATCCGACAGTATTAGACAATGTAATCTATTACCCGTTGTTTTTTTAAAGCTGCAAATGTACTCGTACCAGGACTCACAGCAAAGCCAAGCTGAGAGACCAGTGGCAGAGTCTGCTGATCATGAACAAGAACTTTGAGGCCGGCAGCATATGATACCGTCCCGTAATATTCCTCTTGTCCAACGTTCAATATCAAGTGTAATCCGCGATTGGAACCTCCCTGCTTCACTCGCAGTATAGGTTGACCATCTCTTCCTGGAAAAAAAAAAATAACCAAAAAAGTTGCAAAAGAATACACAGAGAAAGAACAAAAAGCCTTACAGAACGCTCCGTCATGTACGGTAAGTTCCCGAAAGGAAGATAAATGATGCAGAAAGAGAATTGGTCGCAACATATTTGCCTGTATCAATCTAGTCTCCTTCGCTGCCGTTCAGGGATGTCATACAACATTCTACTAAGCCTGGATCAGCTGCTTCCAGTCAAACAATGCTTCTCTTCAAGGATGGGCCAATCACAGACAGCCTTCCATTTTTGGAAAGCTTCTTGCGCCAGTTTTGCTCCTTGAGACTAGTCCAATCACGCCTTGATTGTGCTCTCTTCTGTTGCAAAGCATGCTACTTCTTTCAGTTCGGGTTCCTTTTCGTTGTTCTGTATCCGGTTGAGGCTAAGAGCTCGTTTTCATTTTCGTGCTATAGGTTATGCCAGACTTGTGGGTCAATTTTGAAAAAAAAAAGCCAGGAGATGGTCGGATATTGTACATATTGGCAGATGGCGTGATAGCTTTAGTTCTGTGTTTGTTCTCTGATAAAACACGCTCTTTCAACCAATGGAAGCGCTCGTTACACCCGGACTTTATTCAAAATGCCAATTAAACTCGTCGCTGAGTGTGTTTATTTATTTTTAATGTTCTCGAAATTTACCTGAGTTGAAAGTGTGGCAAAGTCCCATTGATGTCAGAACGGACGTGAAATTCCTGTCATCGCAGGTCGGTTTTCCGTTCCAAATGCAATGACCAACAGTATCATCGCTTTGGTGTCCTGCATCGATGTAAAACTGTGTGAGGTTCAAGTCATGATATTTGTTTAAGTCAATGCTATCATTGACATCGGGCAAGCCCATTTTTTTAACAACGGATGCATGAAGTTGGGGCAAAATTTCTTCATACGCTGACGTTCTAACCACAGACCTTTTGAACACGTTGAAGTTGCAGATAGTCACCGCTGGAAAAGTCGGCATGGGGTCGTATTTCAAACTGACTTTTGTCGTGACCTGGTAGCCGTAGTACTTCTTAATCAACTTGAAGAACTGAAATGAAAACCACATCATTGCTAGCAAAAGAAGCACAGCCCATAGAAAGCGACGCGTTCTGGTTGAGCTGGAGAAGACGTGAAGCAAACCGTGAAGAGTGGACGACTCGACAAATTTATTCCATGTTTTCTCGATCTCTGCTTTCTGACTCGAGACTTGAGCAGTCTGACTGTCAGAAGTGTGGTTAACATCACATGACTTGCCTCGCTTTGAATATTTTGTTTCTTGCAACTCTGTTTTAGATAATACAGGATCCATAGTGGACCCTTGTCTTTCCCTAAAAACTATTTTCGTGCAATCATGGGATAAATTTGACAGAAGCACCTGCTTAAGTACTTTGATCAATATGAATAATCATTGGGCATCATTTGTTTATTTGCAATTTAGCTTCACTGAAATGATAAAATCCGAGGTGGAAATTTAATACGGTTTTTTTTCAGAACCACCCCGGTTCTTTTCAGAACCACCATATTTATAAAAGTCAATGACCAACACTGTGTGTCCTTTTATTTGCTTGAAATCGTACCAATAACTGTGATAGAAAAAATTATTTCGGGAAAATATTCGCCTATAAGACGCACCCAAACTTTGGCGGTAATTTTTAGTAGAAATTAGGAAATTCTTGAAAAAATGGTGCGCCTTATAACCGAATAACTACGGTATGTTGTTTAAAATTATATATATATATATATATACTTTTGTTATAACAGGTTATAGATGTGAAAAGTTGAAGCAAAAACTAAGGTTTTTTTTAACGATGTATCGATCATAATTATCCCTTCAAAATTTATTATTTTGCATTTGGTGTTTCTTAAGTGAAGTCATTAATAAAAGATAAACTATGACCACTGTATATACAGGTGACAAACTAAAAAATAAATAAATATTATGCACATGCTCCGGCCACGCAATATGTTCGTCCTTTCTACTAAATTTCTCCTTTCTCGATCATAGTTGCCGACATGTATTCACAGTTTTCTACGTCACGGCTATGTAACATGATCGTTTTGGTCGCTTGCTTAATGGGGACACTTTTTGACCGCCAAATAAAGGAGAACTTGTTAGGCGCTAAGGTCAATTATTTCTGATTTCAAATATAGCTATCAACCAGAAGATGAAAAAAAAAAACTTGTCACAGGCACTTTAAGCAGGTAGCGTCTTTTCAAATTTAGTTTGACATGAAAAGCAGATGTTCATTTTTTGTATGTACGATAAATGGAGCTTGCCGTGAAATATTTCAATTATCTTGCGGTGAGATGTATTTCAATGATGATAATCCGCTTAATAATTAATAACTTTTCATCTTCCGCACTGAATTAATAATCAATTAATTTATATGAAGGGCAGGCTGTTTTTTTGAAGACTATTAAATGACCAAGAGAATATTAAATGGTTGATATTGCTTTGTTACAGACTGATACCCCATCACACCAGCAAAACACGTTTAGTTAAATTGGGTTTGACTAAATGAAAATCAGAAAGAGATAACTGGAAAACTAATTTATTCTATTCCATAGGTTTCAAGTATACACTAGGTCGTCTTTTTAATGCTTAACTGGAGGCGACAAACCCCTTGTTTAACAAAACAGCTTTAAAACATGTTTAAGCTCTGGTGTAAAAGGGATACGAGAAAGATAATGAAGATGAATATTCCATTTTGACCAGCTTCCAGTTGCCTTGACGACTCGGTTGGTTAACCCACTACACCGCTATTATGAAAGAGTCGTGGGCTCAAATCCCTTTTGGTTTATTTATTTTTCCTTTTCACCTTTCTTTTTTTCAAGGTCTTATTCACCTTTGTATTTCCTCTTAAGAAAGCAAATCGTCACTTTTATCTACCTACGGTAAAACATCAAGGTTTCGGAGACCACAGTGGATGCTCTAGTTGTCAATTCCTTTGCGTAACCAACCAAGCAACTTAATGTTGACGCATGACTGGATTCAAGTACGTAATTTAATTATCCTTTACAGAATGGAAGTCACGTCGCCCCATTTCCAAGTCACCCCCCAGTCTTCCCTCAGTCACGTAAGTCTCAGGCTTAGGGACCTCACCACCAAGTGAAGCCACACAGATGTCAGATCGCCAGTAATATTTGTTTCCTGAAAATTTGACAGACAGATTACTTATTGAATTAATGAACTCAACAACTTTTACAGACTTGTTGACTTGAGTTTACAGATAGTAACAGAGTAATATTGAGGAATGATTTTGGTTACTTGGTTTGGGGAAGGTGAGTTGGGGCGGCATTGCCAGGGATGACATGACGTTTATTAAAAAAGCTTTACCGCAGTCGTTTGCTTTCTACTGCGTGTGACCATTCGCGAGTATGATACCGATTGCTTTCTAAACTGAAGAAGACATGCTTTGCTTAAACATTAATGATTACAGAGAAGACTCTCGCTATGTTTAAAATGCACTAACTTGCTAACCAACGAGCTTAGCTTGTAATTCACGGGGGTTATTCGCAGCTGCACAAGCTTGCTAAAACGCCTAGCTTAGCTTGTGATTCTGGGGGCCAGTTGCATGTCTAGAGGTTAAATCAAAGACCTAAACTTTGCAAGTCAATCTCTTTGGCTTTAAAGGTCTCATCATCTGGTGATGCATGGATCGGTGAAAACTTGAAGATTTGTTTCAATTTTTTACATTAGTTTAAGGCCTCACTGTAAGCAGCAATGGGCTCCTGCTGTACGCTATTATATCGTTCAGTGTGTGATTTTATCTAAATCCCAGCCGTATCCCGACGATAGCAATTATGACGTCAAAGAATTCAAGTACGGTCAAGAGACTGGCGCCAACACAGAGACCAACTCGACCGCCGATTTCACCTGTGGTGAAAAGAAGATATGAAGATCTTAGTCTTTTTGACCTCCAGCAACAATTATGTGATAAACTTGGATTCTTTTTCTAAATGTTCATTCTCACAGTTATAATAAAGCTGTCAAGCTTTTAAAGAGAGATATACCATGGGTACCTTCGTGATCGATAGAAAGGAGCAAATTGTTGGCACGATATAGAAGTAATTTACAGTTGAGAAACACCGGGATTATTACCACAGTGGCGTCACTTTCGACCTGGACCTTCTCCAGAGGCCTGGCAACTGAGCACCCGACCGTAAAGAGGATCTTTTCTAAAAGTGACAATTACAAGTGACATATTGTAAAATATAAGATATATCTAACATATTCTATTGACATATTCCAAAATTAAGCCTTCCCAGAGCTTTTATCAACGAAAAATTTGATTGTTCTGTTATCACCAAATCTTTTTGTCCCAGACGACTGGACCATGCACTTTGAGAGCACAAGTCCAATTTGTGGATCTTACGCCGACACGTACCTAACAGACTTTCATAGTTATAAGCAGGTATTTCCTCGATGACTTGGTAATTAAGTTCTTGAAAATACACGCGCAGTTCCAGCTGATTCTGGCTGTTGAAGTATTAAATATGAAATAAAAAGTGAAGTGCAGGTAGCCGGCTACAGGGATGGAAAATATTAATCCTCTATTTAATTTCACTGACAGTCCAAATGGCGTGGGGCCGTGGACAACGCTCCACTCGTATCCCGCGATCAGATTTTTTCAGGTGTCATTTCCCAAGTGAAATGTCAGCATTTTCTGACTTTACTGGCTGTTCATATAATTTCAGTTTGGTGTTATATGTACCTGACCCCAAGAGACTTATCAATAAAACTGCCTCATCACAAATCATTGAGAGAAATTGTATTTCGAACTTTGTGTGATAGCGAATAACAAAATGACCTCACAGATGAAAAAGCACGACGGACCTCGAACCCATGCCCCCTTGGAGGTCGGTTAGGTGTTACTACCAACGGAAATATTGACACTCCTCGCTGGGAGTCAGGAAAATTATCTTTCTAAATTCAGTTTCACCTGTGAGGATCGATATCATTCTGTTACTTGATATAACACTAATCTCGTCATTGAATTGAGAGAAATATGGCTAATTGAGTCGCATCTGGTCATATTTAGGGGCTTAGGATATCCCACGAAACTTTACTTCAAGGTCCACTTCTAAGTAGCTTATTTTTAACTCTTAATGGAGGCCATCTGTAGTTAAAATTAAAAACAGTATTAGGAACCGGAGGATAGAGGATGTTTTCATCTACTACCGTCCTCTCCTACCGTGAGTCTGACCACTGTGTACATTATTCAGTGTCCAAGCTCGTTATTAACCTCCCCAAACTTTTATCAACCCTTGTATACCTAATTCAGGGTCAACGCTCGCTAACGTTTGTTTGACTTTTGCACAGCCACTTTAACTTTTGTTGCTCCATGGCTCAACACAATTTTCACCTTTCGAAACTACAATACGATTACGTCATGCTTTCTTGTTTCTCTTTCAATGAATCTGTTGTAAGATCGGGTCCTCCTTGTTGTTCGATATAATTAGCGATAAAGTTGTTACTCGGAAAGTCAGCGTATGACAATATGGGATTGTAGGAGATTGAATCACAAGGTACTGGGCACTCACACTGGTCATCTATTCTACTGTGAAAGTTGCCTGAAAGAAGTAATAAAAACATTTTCATATAAGTGAATTTTTGATCTTCCAAATACAAGCGAGCTCAAAATCCCATTGTCATGACATTGTGAGAGGGCTTGTGGATGGGAGGAATCCTCCTGGAAATGCTTTGAGGGCATGCAGTGAAAGGCTGAGGAAGTACTCCAGTTACGTCTTGGCCTGCCTCATTCATTTGTGATGACAGGCAGTTGGAATTGGAAAGTAAATGAATCTTGATGAAACACTTGGTATACCCTCGTTTGTCAGTCTCTTACTCAGACCTTCTACAGCCAAGCGATTGAAAGTGTACATTTCAGTTACAGTCACACGGTAAGATCTGGGTACGAGATTATTCGTCACGCGATTTAACAGATTTTATCATAACTATTATAAAACCAAGTAATATAAATGTCTACATACTCATCTCTTTCTCCAGGCAATTCTTGATTTCGCGCAATCCACACACTTTGGTGTTGTTTATGTCTGTGAAAAAGTCGAGAGAAGCCAAAATCAACAAGAGCACTGATTTTCTTATAGGTTTTTTATAAAAAACGAACCCCAATTTTTCTGCGCACGCCGGCATCTATTAATCTGATAGGTAAGTGGTCTCCTCGCCTCAAGCCCCCAGTTGAAGCCCTATCTCTCGCCCGTGCACCCATGAGGAATGGGTCGAAATGATGGCTGACACTTCAGAATACGTACCTGTAAACTTTGGTATGATATTATTTATGCGCAAGAGTTATTCGCCGGCGCTCAATTTACATTTAGCAGTATGATTTTTAACAAGTCATAACCAGAGTATTATTGATACGAAATAATGGTTTTGCAAAAATGACAAGCTAAAATGTTGAGAAGGACAAACACTGGTACAAATGCATTGCTTAATTTTTACCGTCATGAGTTACTCATGAATACCTGTCATCTAAAAGACCTAACAGTTTGAGCAAGAAAAAGAATTATAGAACCTGAATTAAGCTGAGTTTTTGCTTGGGGATCAAGATGTATAATTTGTAACGAAGTACATCATATCAGAAGCCCCATCGGCTCCTGAGCATTAGCAACTAGTCACTGAAGTGGGAGTGGTGAAGCAGCGAGGTTGATATTCACCACTAACCACTGACTCTGAGGCGATTTATTGTCTTAGTAATATTAGATTAAAATATTAAAATCTGTCTGATGATCGCGTAAGCGTGAAACTCATCAGAGTCACAGAAAAGTTGTCTTATTGATTTGTCCAACTTTCAGATATACCACACTCTGCGAACATATCAAGCACTATAAAGAAAAGATAGACTATGATCAAGATTTACATATATATTGATAAGATCCCCAACGGGCATAAAAGTGTGCGTCCTAGGCCGCTGATCTGATGAGCGCCTGCTCACAGACTAACAAATGGTTAGCGAAACGCACCTTTAATGACTTACCTGGCATCAAAGCGTCCCTGCATCCACACTTATTAATTACAAAGTTGGTTACACAAATCTCTTGGCAAGAAGGAATCGTGTACTTGTTATAGCCAGGTATGCTAGTAATCTCTTTGTCATGGCAGTTTCCCTCATAAGGTTTTGGAAGATTGAGTGTCTGTGGTTAAAAAAACTTTGATTTCAAAGCAATTTTCAATTGAGTTTCGAAAGAATTCCTAATTTCTGTGGTTAACTTCACCATGTGCCTTATACTTTGTCCATAAAACTAATCTACCTCCGACGAGAGAGAATCTTGAGAGTGCGCGAGATACTAACGAAACTATCCATCGAAAATGAATCCTAAAAGGCACAAGAGACTAACGTAACATTCCATATCAATGAGAACTCTGAAAGTTCTTGAGATGCTAACGTAACAATCCAATGAGAAAGAATCCTAAAAGTGTGCAAGAGACTAACGCAACAATTCAATGAAAAAAATCCTAAAAGTGCGTGAGATGCTAACGTTACAATCCAATGAAAAAGAATGCTTAAAGTTCGTGAGATACAAAACGTAACAATCCAACGAAAGAGAATCCTTAAAGCGCCAGATACTAAGATAGCAGTCCATTGAAAGAAGATCGTAAAAACGCACGAGGTAATAACGGAACAATCCATTGAATAAGAATTCTAAAAGTGTGCAAGATACCGACGTAACAATCTAATAAAAAAGAATCCTTGAAGTGCACCAGATACGAACGTAACAGTCCATTGGAAGATAATCCTAAAAGTGCGCGAAATACTAACGTAACAATATAATGAATAGAATCCTTAAAGTGCGCTAGATACTAAGGTACCAGTCCATTGAAAGAAGATCGTAAAAGCGCACGAGATAATAACGTAACAATCCATTGAATAGGAATTCTAAAAGTGCGCGAAATACCGACGTAACAATCTAATAACAAAGAATCCTTAAAGTTCACCAGATACGAATGTAACAGTCCATCGGAAGATAATCCTAAAAGTGTGCGAGATACTAACGTAACAATACAATGAAAGAGAATCCTTAAAGTGCGCTAGATACTAAGGTACCAGTCCATTGAAAGAAGATCGTAAAAGCGTACGAGATAATAACGTGACAATCCACTGAATGAGAATTCTAAAAGTGCGCAAGATACCGACGTAACAATCTAATAAAAAAAATCCTTGAAGTGCACCAGATACGAACGTAACTGTCCATTGGAAGATAATCCTAAAAGTGCACGAGATACTAATGTAACATCACAATGAAAGAGAATCCCAAAAGTGCACGAGATACTGACGTAACAATCCAGTGAAAGAGAACTCTAAAAATTCAAGAGATGCTAACGTAACAATCGAACTAAAAAGAATCCTAAAACTACGCGAGGAACTAACGTAACAATCGAATGAAGGGGAACTGCAAAAGTTCTCAAAATACTAATCCTAAAAGTAGAATTTGAAAATTTGCAGTGAACTCTAATGACATCCCGTAACTGATATTATCCTACCTTTTCATCACCTTTCTGCTCGAAAATGTATAGATGTCGTGAGAGGAAACTTAAAGGTTAAAGCAGTTCCACTTGTTAAGCCCATGAGCTGACAAAACTAAGTTCACATAATTGAACAATGTAATCTATTACCCGTAGTTTTTTTAACGCCGCAAATGTACTCGCACCAGGACTCACAGCAAAGCCAAGCTGAGAGACCAGTGGCAGAGTCTGCTGATCATGAACAAGAACTTTGAGGCCGGCAACATATGATGTCGTCCCGTAATATTCCTCTTGTCTAACGTTCAATATCAAGTGTAATCCGCGATTGGAACCTCCCTGCTTCACTCGCAGTATAGGTTGACCATCTCTTCCTGGAAAAAAATAAAAAAAAAACCAAAAAAGTTGCAAAAGAGTTCACAGAGAAAGAACAAAAAGCCCTACAGAACGCTCCAGAAGAAGATAAATGATGCAGAAAGAGAATTGGTCGCCGCATATTTGTCCGTATCAATGTAGTCTCCTTCGCTGCCGTTCAGAGATGTCATGCAACATTCTACTAAGCCTGGATCAGCTGCTTCCACTCGAACAATGCTTCTCTCCGAGGATGGGCCAATCACAGACAGCCTTCCAATTTTGGAAAGCTTCTCGCGCCAGTTTTGCTCCTTGAGACTAGTCCAATCACGCCTTGATTGTGCTCTGTTCTGTTGCAAAGCGCGCTACTTCTTTCAGTTCGGGTTCCTTTTCGTTGTTCTGTATCCGGTTGAAGCTAAGAGCTCGTTTTCATTTTCGTGCTATAGGTTATGCCAGACTTGTGGGTCAATGTTTAAAAAAAAAAAGGCAGGAGATGGTCGGATATTGTACATATTGGCAGATGGCGTGATAGCTTTAGTTCTGTGTTTGTTCTCTGATAAAACACGCTCTTTCAACCAATGGAAGCGCTCGTTACATCCGAACTTTATTCAAAATGCAAATTAAACTCGTTGCTGACTGTGTTTATTTATTTTTAATATTCTTAAAATTTACCTGAGTTGAAAGTGTGGCAAAGTCCCATTGATGTCAACACGGACGTGAAATTCCTGTGATCGCAGGTCGGTTTTCCGTCCCAAATGCAATGTCCAACAGTATCATTGCTTTGGTGTCCTGCATCGATGTAAAACTGTGTGAGGTTTAAGTCATGATATTTGTTTAAGTCAAAGCTATCATTGACATCGGGCAAGCCCATTTTTTTAACAACGGATGCATGAAGTTGGGGCAAAATTTCTTCATACGCTGACGTTCTAACCACAGACCTTTTGAACACGTTGAAGTTGCAGATAGTCACCGCTGGAAAAGTCGGCATGGGGTCGTATTTCAAACTGACTTTTGTCGTGACTCGGTACCTGTAATACTTCTCAATCAACTTGAAGGACTGAAATGAAAACCACATCATTGCCAGCAAAAGAAGCACAGCCCATAGAAAGCGACGCGTTGTGGTTGAGCTGGAGAAGACGTGAAGCAAACCGTGAAGAGTGGACGATTCGACAAATTTATTCCAAGTTTTCTCTATTTCTGCTTTCTGACTCGAGACTTGAGCAGTCTGACCGTCAGAAGTGTGGTTAACATCATATGACTTGCCTTGCTTTGGATATTTTGTTTCTCCTAATTCTGCTTTAGAAAATCCAGGATGCATAGTGGATTCTTTCCCGCCCTTGCTAGAAGATTTTTCTGATACTTCCTGTCCAGTTGATACTTTTTTGTTTCGTTTCTTGAAAACTCAATACAACGTGCTAGCTTGGGTCCAACTCTACTCTCTAGGAAAGTGCTAATCTCTAATTTAAAAAGGTGACAGTTGGCAAGTGTCAATATTTGACCAACGTCACTACTTCTCACTCAGCAAGCGAATCATGTTGAAATCCGTGAAACAGTTCCCGCATACTGAGTGTGTACCTTCGGTTTGAAGTTTCTCTTCAAAATGGCGTTCTACCTAAAATTTCACACTTTTGAAGTTAAGGTCGGCGAAGACAAAAGTAAGATTGATGAAATGAAAAGTAAAAAGGACACATGGCATAGATTAGAATTATACTTGATAAGATAACTTAAGAGAAAATAACCCTCAAAGCTTGAGCTAAAGCAGGAACTTCAGTTAGCTGAAATACCTGTCCCCAAAAGTACCTGCTAAAGCAAGTACTTAGCCAACTGAAGTATCTGTCAACCTGCTTAAGTAAGTACTTCAGTCAAATTTAGTTTGACACGAAAAGCAGATGTTGAGTTTCTACGGTGAGTGGAGCTTGCCGTGAAATATTTCAATTATCTTGCGGTGAGATGTATTTCAATTATGATAATCCGCTTAATAATTTATAACTTTTCATCTTCCACACTGAATTAGTAATCAGTTAACTCATATGAACGGCAGGCTGTTCTTTCGAAGACTAGAAATAGTCCAAGAATATTAACTGGTTGATATATTACAAGAAAAACACATTCAGTTAAACCGGGTTTGACTGAATGAAAATCAGAAACAGCTAACTGGAAAACTGATTTATTCTATTCCATAGGTTTCAAGAATTCACCAACTCGTCTTTTCAATGTGCTTAAATGGAGTCGACAAACCTCGCCTAATAAGACAGCTTTAAAGCATGTTTAAGCTCTGGTGTGGCAGGGATATGAGAATGATGAGATAATGAAGATGAATATTACATTTTGACCAGCTTCCAGTTGTCTTGACAACTCGGTTGGTTAACCTACTAAATCGCTATTATGAAAGAGTCGCAGGTTCAAATTCTTTTAGTCTATATAATTTTCCTTTTAACCTTTCTTTTTTTTTCACGGTTTTGATCACCTTTGTATTCCCTCATACGAAAGAAAATCATCGCTTCTATCTAGCTGCGGTAATATAAAACATGAATGTTTCGGATATCACAGCGGATGCTCTAGTTGTCAATTCCTTTGCGTAACTAACCAAGCAACTTAATGTTGACGCATGACTGGATTCAAGGACGTAATATAATTATCCTTTGCAGAATAGAAGTCACGTCGTCCCATTTCCAAGGCGCCCCCAAGTCTTTCCCCAGTCACGTAAGTCCCAGGCTGAGATCGCCAGTAAAAGAGTCGTTGATCACTAATCGCAATACCACAAACATTTGTTTACTGAAAATTTGAGACAGACAGATTATTTATTGAATTCAACAACTTTTACAGACTTGGTGACTTGAATTTACAGGTATTTATAGAGTAATATATTGAGGAATGATTTTGGTTACTTGGTTTGGGGAGGTGAGTTGGGGCGGCATTGCCAGGGATGACATCGAGTATTTTTAAAAGGCTTTACCGCAGTCGTTTTTACTTTCTACTGCGTATGACCATTCGCGATTATGATACCAATTGCTTTCTAAACTAAAGAAGTTATGCTTTGCTTAAACATTAATGATTACAGAGAAGACTCTCGCTATGTTTAAAATGCACTAACTTGCTAACCAACTAGCTAAGCTTGTAATTCACGGGGGTTATTCGCAGCTGCAAAAGCTTGCTAAAACGCCTAGCTAAGTTTGCGATTCTGGGGGCCGGTTGCGTGTCTAGAGGTTAAATCAAAGACCTAAACTTTGCAAATAAATCTCTTTGGCTTCAAAGGTCTCATCATCTGGTGATGCATGGATCGTTGAAAGCTTGAAGATTTGTTTCAATTTTCCACCATAGTTTAAGGCCTCATTGTAAGCAGCAATGGGCTCCTGCTGTATGCTATTATATCGTTCAGTGTGTGATTTTATCTAAATCCTAGCCGTATCCCGACGATAGCAATTATGAGGTCAAAGAATTCAAGCACGGTCAAGAGACTGGCTCCAACACAGAGACCAACTTGACCACCGATTTCACCTGTGGTGAAAAGAAGATATGAAGATCTTAGTCTTTTTGACCTCCAACAACAGTTATAATGTGATAAACTAGGATCTTTTTACAAATGTTCATTCTCACAGTTATAGGCATAGCTGTCAAGGTTTTAAAGAGAGAGAGACCATGGGTACCTTCATGATCGATAGAAAGGAGCAAATTGTTGGCACGATATAGAAGTAATTTACAGTTGAAAAACACCGGGATTATAACCAAAGTGACGTCACTTTCGGCCTAGACCTTTCTCAGAGGCCTGGCAACTAAGCACCCGACCGAAAAGAGGATCGTTTTTAAAAGTGACAATTAGAAGTGATATATTCTAATATATAACATATATCTTACATATTCTTGTAACATATTTAAAAATTAAGCCATCCCAGAGCTTTCATCAACGAAAAATTCGATTGCTCTGTTATCACCAAATATTTTTTTCTCAGACGACTGGACCATGCACTTCAAGAGATCTTAAGTCCAATTTGTGGATCTTGCACCGACACGTACCTAAAAGACTTTCATAGTTATAAGCAGGTATTTCCTCGATGACTTGGTAATTGAGTTCTTGAAAATACACGCGCAGTTCCAGCTGATTCTGGCTGTTGAAGTATTAAATATGAAATAAATACTTATGTGGTAAGTAGCCAACTACAGGTCAGATTTTTTCAGATATTATTTCCCAAGTGAAATGTCAGTATTTTCTGATTTCATTAGCTGTTCATTGTTTTGTTAATCTATTTCCACCATAGATTGGTCGAGAATCCTTTGCTTTAGTAACAAGACAAAATTCATGTGTGGCCGTAGGTACACAACCTCAAGAGACTTATCAACGAAACTGCCTCATCACAAGTAATTGAGAGAGATCATATTCTGAACTTTGTGTGATAGCAAATAACAAAATGACCTCACAGAATAAAAAGCAATGGAATAAAATAGAACAAATTCAGGGTCAAAGCTCGCTAACTTTTGTTTTACTTTTGCTCAGCCACTTTAAATTTTTGTCGCTCCATGGCTCAACACAATCTTCACCTTTCGAAACTACAATACGAATACCTCAATATTTCTTGTCCTCTTTTTATTAAATCTGGTGTAACATTGGAACCATCATGTTCTTTGACGATCCTTTTGATGAAATTTTTACTCGGAAAGGCAGCGTATGACAATATGGGATTGAAAGAGATGGATTCACAAGGTACTGGGCACTCACATTGGTCATCTATTCTACTGTAAAAGTTGCCTGAAAGGAGCAATGCAACATTTTAACTTAAGTGTTTTTTGACCTCCCAAGTACGAGCGAGTTCAAAACGCCATTTTCATGACATTGTGAAAGGGCTTGTGGAAGGGAGGAATCCTCCTGTAAATGCTTTCGAGGGTATGCAGTTAAAGGCTAAGGAGGTCTCCTGGTTACGTCTTGGCCTACCTCATCCATTTGGAATGACAGGGAGTCGGAATTGGAAAGTAAATGAATCTTGATGAAACACTTGGTATACCCTTGTCTCCTAGTGTCTTACCCAGACCTTCCACGGCCAAGCGGTTGAGAGTGTTCATTTCAGGTGCAGTTACACGGCAGGATCTCAGTACGAGATTACTCGTTCCCCAGCTCCTCTCCCCAACTCAGTCGAAGACTCTGAAAGTTTTTTTACCTTTGGACTAAATACAAGCGATTTAACAGACTTTATCATAAGTATTATAAAACAAGTAATATAAATGTCTACATACTCATCTCTTTCACCAGGCAGTTCTTGATTTCACTCAATCCACACACTCTGGTGTTGTTTATGTCTATGAAAAAGTCGAGAGAAGAGAAAATTAATAAGAGCACTGATTTTCTTATCGCTTTTTCATAAAAAGTGAACCCCCATGTTTTCCGCGCACGCATTTATTAATCTGATAGGTAAGTGGTTTCCTCGCCCAAACCCCCGGGTGAAGCCCCATCTCTCGCACGGGTGCCCTTGGAGAATGGGTCGAAATGACAGCTGACACTTCAGACTATGTACCTGTAATCTTTGGTATGATATCATTTATGTGCAAAAGTGTGTGAAGTTATTCACCGGCGCTCAATTAACATTTAGCGGTATGATTTTTAGTAAGCCATAACCCAATAATAAGAATATTATTAATCCGAAAAAATGGTTTTGCAAAAATGACAAGCTAAAATGTTGAGAAGGACACACCGGTACAAATGCATTGCTTAATTTTTACCGTCATAAGTTACTCATAAATACCTGTCATCTAAAAGACCTAACAGTTTGAGCAAGAAAAAGATTTATAGAACCTGAACAAAGCTGAGTTTTGCTTGGGGATCAAGATTTAAAATTCGTAACGAAGTACATCATATCAGAAGCCTCATCGGCTCCTGAGCATTAGTAACTAGTCATCGAAGTGGGAGTGGTGAAGCAGCGAGGTTGATATCCAACGCCAGCCACTGACTCTGAGGTGATTCGTTGTTTTAGACCAAAACAGTGAGATAATACAGCACAAAAGAAAAAAAGTAGCTCATTTTTTCCTGCAACGACAGTTATATTTTCGGGTGCAAACTCTGTGCTTCAAGTGAATAACAAAGGATATTCGGAGTTTGAGAAGTCAATCAGAGCCCGCTTATGACGCTATCCACCGTTTAAGTATATACTAATACCGTTATACCATTACTAGTGCCAGATCTCCGGTGGACAGAAAAGCGCGCGTTCTTCGCTGCTGATCTGATGAGCGCCTTACAAGCTAACAAATGGTTAAACTTAAATGACTTACCCGGCATCAAAGCGTCCCTGCATCCACACTTGTTTATTACAAAGTTGGTCACACAAATCTCTTGGCAAGAAGGAATCGTGTACTTGTTATAGCCAGGTATGCTAGTAATCTCTTTGTCATGGCAGTTTCCCTCGTAAGGTTTTGGAAGATTGATTGTCTGTGGTCCAACAGAACTTTAATTTCAGAGCAATTTTCAATTGAGTTTCGAAAGAATTCCTAATTTCTGTGGTTAACTTCACCATGCGCCTTATACTTTGTCCATAAAACTTACCTATCTCCGATGAGAGAGAATCCCAAGAGTGCGCGAGGTACTAACGAAGCTATATCTATTGAAAAATATATCCTAAAGGGCACAAGAGACTAACGTAACATCCCAATCAATGCACGAGATAATGAGAAAGAATCCTAAAAGTGTGCAAGGACTAACGCAATAATCCAATGAAAAATAAGCCTAAAAGTGCGTGAGATACTAACGTAATAATCCAATGAAAAAGAATCCTTGAGGTGCGTGAGATGCTAACGTAACAATCCATCGAAAGAGAATCCTAAAAGTGCGCCAGATACTAACGTAACAATCTAATATAAAAGAATCCCAAAGTGCGTCAGATACTAACGTAGCAGTCCATTGGAAGAAAATCCTAGAAGTGCACGAGATACTAACGTAACAATCCATTGAGTGATAATTTTAAAAGTGCGCGAGATATTAGGGTAACAATGGAATTAAAAAGAATCCTAAAACTACACAAGAAACTAACGTAACAATCGAATGAAGGAGAATCGTAAAAGTTCTCAAGATACTGATGAACAATCCAATAAAAGAGAATCCTAACAATGGGCGAGATACTGACGTAACAATCCAATTAAAGAGAAACCTAAAAAATGTTTTGGAGGATGTCTTCTAATCGTCTCGAATTTTTTTTGAGATGCAACTTGTCGATAAGGACGACATTCTTATGCTTCTTAGACTTAAAAGTCTTTCACTTCTAAGATTTCCACATCAATTCTCACCACTTACTGCTATAAATTCCTTATGGTATTAGATCTGAAAATTTGCGGTGAACTCAAATGACATCCCGTAACTGATATCATCCTTACTTTTCATCTCCTTTCTGCTCGAAAATGTATGGATGTTGTAAGAATCGGAGGAAATTTAGGGGTTAAAGCCTTCCACTTGTTAAGCCCATGAGCTGACAAAACTAAGTTTACATAAAAAAATCCGACAGTATTAGACAATGTAATCTATTACCCGTAGTTTTTTTAACGCTGCAAATGTACTCGCACCAGGACTCACAGCAAAGCCAAGCTGAGAGACCAGTGGCAGAGTCTGCTGATCATGAATGAGAACTTTGAGGCCGGCAACATATGATGTCGTCCCGTAATATTCCTCTTGTCTAACGTTCAATATCAAGTGTAATCCACGATTGGAACCTGCCTGCTTTACTCGCAGTAGACGTTGACCATCTCTTCCTGGCAAAAATATAACAAAATAACAAAAAAAGTTGCAAAACAATACACAAAGAAAGAACTAAAATCCTCACAGAACGCTCCGTCATGTACGGTTATGGTCCCCGAAAGAAAGATAAATTTTTTGCCGCATATTCGCCTGTAAATGAATGATGATAAATGATGCAGAAAGAGAATGGGTCGCTACATATTTGCCCGTGTCAATCTAGTCTCCTTCGCCACTGTTCAGGGATGTCATACAACATTGTTCCAAGCCTGGATCAGCTGCTTTCACTCGAACAACGCTTCTTTCCAGGAATGGGCCAATCAAAGAGAGCATTCCATTTTTGGAAAGCTCTTCGCGCCAGTTTTGCTCCCTGAGACTCGTCCAATCAGGCCTTGATTGTTCTCTGTTCTGTTGCAAAGGGCGCTACGTCTTTGGGTTCCTTTAGGTTGTTCTGTATCAATTGAAGCTAAGTGCTCCTTGTCATGTTCGTGTTATAGGTCATGCAAGACTTGCGGGTCAATTTTTTGGGAAAAAAAAAAAAAAAAAAAAAAAACAGCCAGAGAGAAGTATGGTCGGTAGATGGTCGGACATTGTACAAATTGTTAGATGGCGTGTTCTCTGATGAAAAACGCTCTTTCAACCAATGGGAGCGCGCGTTACATCCGAACTTTATCAAAAATGTAAATTGAAACTCGTTACTGACTGTTTTTTTAATTAATTAAACACTAGTGCAAACACTGTGGGCACAGCAATATTTATAAAAGACAGTTAAACGTGGTTATTTCAAATTTTTTTTTTTCTGTGCAAGCTTGAAAAAAAAGATGATTAAACAACTACACAATTGTTTTAGTGTCGTTTCCGGTTTTTCTCCTCTTATTTTGGCATCTTTTTTCTTTTCTTTTTCATTAGTTCGTTTGTTTTCCTAATCTTCTGTTTTTCTAATCATTTACCAGCTTAAATTACTGTACTAATTGTAATCTTAGAATCTTCCTCTAAATTTTTGAAAACTTGGAGTGCCACTTTATGAAAAATGTGTGCGTTAACAAGCGTTAATCATCCGTAAGACACAATTTTCATGAATAAAACATTTTTTAGATGACCTGCCTAATATTTGTGTCAACGTACCTTTAAGAACTTTCTCACCATATGAAGTGGTATAAAAGCGGACAACTCAGAAAGGAAACAGGCTTCAACTGATTTTGCGAATTAACAGCATTCGGCGGAGATTATATTAGGATTTAATATTATTATATAGATACTGATGAAATACCAGAATTTTTCCTTTTTTCTAAAAAATCATATCTTCATCGCGCGCAGTGAAGATACTGTTTTTATCTTTCACGTGTGAGGATATTTGAAATTTCATCAGTATAAATAAAATAAACAGAACATTACATGGCCGCTTGGGGATACGAATTTTATCTTCCAGTGCTGAAGTACTTTTGAAAGTACTTTTCCACTGCTTCGCTCACTTGTGAGAGATACTTTCAGCACTCGAAGATAAAATTCGTATCCCCAAGGGGTCATGTAATATCCTCTATGTAATAGATGAGTTGTCGTTAAGTTATGTCGGCTATCATTAACCCTTGTAAATTGCACTTGCTTATGACCAAATGTACGCCCTGTCGCTTTTGACACACGGAGAAAATATATTTTTTTAAAATTTACCTGAGTTGAAAGTGTGGCAAAGTCCCATCGATGTCAACACGGACGTGAAATTCCTGTGATCGCAGGTCGGTTTTCCGTTCCAAATGCAATGATTAACAGTATCATCGCTTTGATGTCCCGCATCGATGTAAAACTGTGTGAGGTTCAAGTCATGATATTTGTTTAAGTCAATGCTATCATTGACATCGGGCAAGCCCATTTTTTTAACAACGGATGCATGAAGCTGGGGCAAAATTTCTTCATACGCTGACGTTCTAACCACAGACCTTTTGAACACGTTGAAGTTGCAGATAGTCACCGCTGGAAAAGTCGGCATGGGGTCGTATTTCAAACTGACTTTTGTCGTGACTCGGTACCTGTAATACTTCTCAATCAACTTGAAGGACTGAAATGAAAACCACATCATTGCTAGCAAAAGAAGCACAGCCCATAGAAAGCGACGCGTTGTGGTTGAGCTGGAGAAGACGTGAAGCAAACCATGAAGAGTGGACGACTCAACAAATTTATTCCATGTTTTCTCGATCTCTGCTTTCTGACTCGAGACTTGAGCAGTCTGACCGTCAGAAGTGTGGTTAAGATCATATGACTTTCCTCGCTTTGGATGTTTTGTTTCTCCCAACTCTGCTTTAGATAATGCAGGATCCATAGTGGACCCTTGCCTTCCCCTAAAAAACTGTTTTCGTGCAACAATGGGATAAATTTGACTGAAGTACCTGCTTAAATACTTTGATCAATATGAATAATCATTGGGCATCATTTGTTTATTTGTAGCTTTAGCTTTACGGAAATCATAAAATCTGAGGTAGAAATTCTAATATGTTGTTTAAAATTATATATATTGATACTTTTGTTATAACAGGTTATAAAGTAAAAAGTTGAAGCAAAAATTTTTTTTTATAGATGTATCGATCATAATTATCCCTTCAAAATTTACTATTTTGCATTTGGTGTTTCCCAAGTGAAGTCATTAATAATAGAAAAACTATGACCACTGTATAAACAGGTGACAAACTAAAAATAAATAAATATTATGAACATACCGAAATTATTTGAATAATTTTGAATTTTAAAGCTGGAAACTCCTTGATGCAACGTATCTGTATCCAGTGTGGGTGTGTATGTTTATGTGAAGGTGGGGAGGGGGGCAGAGGTTCGAGGATTTGGTTTTCAGGGGGAACGGAGGGTGGGTCAGTCGTCGCCAACCGGAGTGTGAAGGGGTCTATTTAATTATATCATTAGAGTGCTGCAGAGCTTCAGAGGAGTTTTTTTGTAACAACCAAAATCTTCTAGTCTTCTATTATTCTCAGTTCATATCATTTTGTCGGTTTCAAGAGCTTAAAATTAAAATATCTAGAAACAATCAAGAACACGACGACGGAAATTCACAGGATTTTAAGCAAATGGAAACGGTTGAAGACAATTGCTATGGTATGTTCAGAGCCCAAAAACAAACAGAAACGGCCTGTATCAGAGCCCAAAAACAAACAGAAACGGCCTGTATCATATCAGATAAAAAACACCTAACTGTGCCTGCGTATGTTTTGCAAAAACAAAAATATTGGACTGGACTCTAAACTATTAGCTTGTGTGACCGCCTTTTTCGTGGAAGAGTTAGTTGTGGACTCGATTCTTTTCTTAGCAACTCCAAAGTCATTCCTTTCGCAGAGTAACCGAAAACTGCATGTTAATTAGGTTACTGCACTTTGGAATATCATGGTCTCCATACCATACCCCACAAATACATATTTTTTTTCATGCTACTCATGAAACATTGTTCATGTTTTTGTTAATTGTTAATGATTCACTGTTCCTTGAAGAACGCGAAATTCTCGGTTATGAGCGCAATCCTTGACCAGCTCGTGTTCCTTAGAACTCCTATGTGTAGAGCAACTTCGAAAGAACTATTGAAAACTTCCCCAATCTCGCTTTTTAGCTTCATTTAAATTATTTAAGCTCCTGGTCAGCTTTTTAAAATTCGCTTCAGTGGCTCGGTTCTCTATTGAATTGTATCGACTCCTCGTCGAAGACCAACCAAACATTTATTCTTACCTGCCTTGCAAGAGCGAAAATCCAGAGTCCATAATCCACTATTTAGTCCAGCTGTATATTTTTATAATTTTTTTCGGTCAGCGGATTTTCAAAGAGGCGAACACAACAAAAAAGTAAGCCGGCGACGATCCATTCCGGCCGCTTTTCGCAAATTAATGATGGTGTCCACGAGGAGAGGAATCCAGCGACTATTTTATTCGAAATGTTCCATAAAAGTGCTGGTGATATTAACGATAAGTACCTTTTCTATATGTGTTTTTCTTCATGGGCGAATGGGACGAACAGAAGTAAATGAAATTGTCGGCGAATTTCCTATTGGAATCGGTGAGTAAACAAACTTTAAAACCGAGAGCTTTGCGTATGGGGAAATCTGTGTTTAATTACAGTGTCACGATGGCAGCGGGCTCTCAAAAAGATCCTTTGCGCGCCATGATTCAGTCAGATAACATACTGATTTTGCGTTGATTTTTAGTAAGCGATGTTGTCAACCAAATGATTTTTTCGGTCTTTCTAACGCAACAATTAATCTAATTTCGCTTATTCCTAGGTGTGGTAAAGTTTCCGCAGAGCCTATACTATTGTAAAAAAAATCTGTTTTCCCGATGGAAATGTGTTGTTTTTGTCATTGTTTTCTCTAGTCAAGAACTGAATGCATAATGTTGTAGGGGGCTGTGCAGCAATTTTACCCAAGGTGTTTTCATAACTGTATATCACCTTAAAACTAAACGAAGACAGGGCTAATGTTAACGACTAACTAAGCCTGTCGTGACTTAAATGATTCTCAGTAATTTTATTCATTCGAGTCGCACGCTTTTACAGTATACTTCTTGTGGCGTTTATCGAAGTCATCTATGCATTGGCTAACGAAACTGTAAGCTGTAAGTCGAAACTAAATTTTTGTTTCCTGCCAACGCTTTCCTTTCCATTGATAATTAGCTCTCTAGTATTTCTAACGTGCAACAGACAAAACATTGCAACGAAAAGTTGTGTATCAAGATTGCGGGTAATTCATTTGACAATTATTAACTTTGGCTAAATGTTTGGTAGTTAGGCTTCCTCTAATCCGATTACATGCATTTTTCTACTAAAAGGTTCTTTCAAACCTCTTGGGAGTCTCAATCGTTCCTTTCGAAATGTCAAGCGATTCACGAAATATCCGAACTTGATTGCAACATAAAATCGCAATGTTCTTGCTTCTGCCCGGAGAGATATATTAATTGAGTGAATATTCCTGCAGAATATTCGAGTGATTGGTGCTTGTCTCGAAATGCTGAGAAACTAAAGACCAATTGAATTAATCCACTTTGGAACGAATTTCCCAAGCTTGTGTTTACTCAGAGATTGCTTGGTTATCGGCGTATTTAGATCAGATGATCGGGCACGATCTCGAGTAGGCTTAAAATACAAAACAGACAGAAATATTCAGTAAATGCTCATACAAAACCTCACGCAAACCCAACGAGAGAGTTCAGATCAGTGATTGCTTAGAAATGCTCAGCGATTTTAAAAATTAACCGACATAATTTCGAAACCGGTTGGCTTTTCTAAACAAATATCTGCTACTATCAAGAAGTGTGATAGAACCTATAATTTAAAGTCTGTGAACATTTTTTAACTAGCGGGAATTTAACCAAGGACCAGCCCGACTGTCGGGTTTCTGTTTTGTCACATTTGCTTTGTATTTGTCTGACTAGTCCGCAATCTTGCACCTCTCTAATACTATTTATTATAGTAATATCATACTTTTAAGTTTGAACATCTCTTCCACATTTAAATGTAGAGAAACTCACGGGTCAAAAGCAAATCAAGCCATAGCAGCAAGTACCTGGAAAAAAATGAGAAAAAAAAAATAAGGTGCGTGTCTTCTTGCCTAAACCATAGGATGTTTAGGAATGTTGTTTGATGTACTGGGCTTTTCATCGCTTGAACGCACAAACACGATAAAAAACAACAGAAGCGCGTTGCAAATGAAATATTACTTTTTATTGGGTGTCTTGTCAATTTAAGACTGGTCTCAAAGATTCTCGAGATTCGTCACCATTTACTTCGACATAGTTTTCTCCGTGTCTCAAATGAATGCATCACTCTCCTTCTGATTTTCATTAAACAAGATCATTCATATGCAAAAATATTTCGTTTGTGAAGGTCCTTTTCACAAAAACTTAATGACGCGTAAATTAATGTCAACATCAACCATAGTTTGTGACATTTCCACTGTTCAACTGTCTCAGGGGTATTTCGTATGGGACTTCAACGTCTATATGTTGTTTTTGTAAACTGTGATAATTCGCAAAAATGTTGTGGTTATTCACTATGCTAGAACCAAAAAAATTTAGTGCGAACAATAACAAAGGAAACCACAATAATAACAACAAAGAGAAAACATTAGTGTAGAATGCTTCGATCATAAGGTGACGTGAAACCAGTCGACCTCATTGCCCAAGAATATCAGCAGAGATGACGATAACAGCAGACAAAAGATCGCGACACGTAGTCAACCGACAAAGCCACAGGCCAGTGGGGGCGACAACTGGGGACTGGGGAGGGTGAGGGGGGCTCTCTTTTGAGAAGGTGGCATGAAAGAGGATATCCAAAAAGGTGTTCGAACGTGTTTGCATATTCCGCTCAGTGAGAAAACGAAAAGTTGTGTTACGACTTATCTTTATGGCTTCTCTTCTTTATTCAGCTAACTGTTCAACTCACTAGATCAAGTTTAATACACTTCTTAATTTATTAATTAGTGAACATGTTTGGGCTAAAGTCTTGTCGATCTCTGAGGATTAAAGCTCTCGATAAAACTGCTAACCAAAATATTTGCACAAGGTTTGTGGGAGTGAGCGACAAAGCGCTGGAGATTCTAACCCTAAAGGAACAATGTTGATACATAATTGATAAAATTTCAAAGCTAGACAGCTTGGCGTAACACACTAATCAACGAAGCGTAACGTGGGGGCTTAGTCAATAGGAAGGTAATTGTGACATGTAGAGGCTTAAAAATTATAATGCGCGTGAGGCTCTCGTATCAGTCAGTGACCCATTGATTGATACGAGAGCCATTTTGTTTCAAATTGCGCAAAAGCCGCACCCTAGAATAAACTCTAACTATGAAATCAAGATCAGTGGTGTGTAGAGCACTTTTAAAACTTTCAAAGTTTGGCTACCAACGATAAATCACAAATGGAATATACAGGCAGGTTGCTCATCATAATCTAAGCCAATTTTTTCGTTACATCACTTTAAGTTCAAATGCTTCATATTTTACACCAATGAACTCCATCTTTTGAACTCATGCACGTAGTTTGCCTTGTATGCTTTTGATATCGTGTTTGTGTGGTTTTCGTTTGTAGAAATAAGAAATCATTTGTGCCCCAGTGGTCAAGTCCTAAGAAGCTCACTGGTGAATAAACTTGGACGATATCCATCCCAACAGAGTAAGTATTATGTGAAGTTCATCTGGATTATTTTTCAGTCTTTTAATGTTCAATGAAGGTGTTATTTGCTCCCAGGCTCCATCACGTGCAGCTCTCGCGTTTAAAAATGGCGCGGTTGACTTCCTCGCAGATGTTTCAAAGGTAGCCTGCAGGACAAGTGTAATTTTTTGCGTCTTTCAGTCAAAAAATGGCAAGTGCGAGGCGAGCGTGAAGTACGAATCACGCCCGTTCGCCTTTAAGACGTTAAAAATCATGCCGGTTCTGCAGGCTATGTCATAGTGCAAGGAACCGAAAATAACACTCAGCAATGTTTTGGTCTATCATCTGAAGTTTACATTCTGTTCACTTTCAGGGCACATGACGATAGGTATGACTTCAATAAGCAGACCCAATGGGGCAAACTATCTCTTAAAAACGATCCAAAGTTTATTGGACAAAATGAATGACGCTGACAAAAAGAGAACATTCATAGTTGTATTCCTCGCAGACTTTGACAAAGTTTTAAAAGCGAATGCAGCTTTAGATCTTTTAAAGTTCTTCGGGAAAGAAATTCAGGAAGATCTACTACATGTAATTGAAACATCACCTCAATTTTATCCTGATTTGTCTAATCTTAAGCTGAAATATGGTGACTCGCAGGATAGGAGGAGATGGCGTTCGAAGCAGAATTTAGACTTTGCCTTTCTGATGTGTTATAGTAGAAATCTTTCTACGTATTACCTCCACATTGAGGATGATGTTAATGCATCTCCAAGTTTAATTCCAAAGATGGATGAGTTTATCTCTTCCCAAAAGGGATACTGGCCAATGCTTGACATCTCCGCTATGGGTCATGTCGCAAAAGTTTATCAGGCCAAAGATCTCGAGAATGTTGCATCGTATTTTTATCTAATGTATGACGAAATGCCCGTGGATTGGTTAATATGGTATTGGCGAATGATAAAAGGAACTGGTAATGTACACTTGGTAGTTCCTGCAGCTTCTCTCTTTCAACACAAAGGTCTTCGATCCTCTCTGAAAGAAAAGGAGTGGAGGAGAAATACTTCTTATGATAGATACTTTGACCTTTATGATCATAAATACAATGGATTAAACCCAGCAGCGGAAGTTTCCTCGTCGATAGCATCAAATCTGGGGAGCCCTCAAGATGCTTACAGAGGTGGTTCTGGATACTTTTGGGGAAAGACTGTTCATACTAATGACCACGTGACTGTGAAGTTTGATCAAGCTGTTAATGTAGAGAAAGTGTTTGTAGACACTGGTTCTAATTTAGCTGTGAATGACTGGTTAAAGTTTGGTGTCCTTCAAGCAAATTTTGAATCTGAGAAACCCAGAAGTACCTGGTCATGGCCTGGTACTAATGCAGAATCCTGTGGAGACTTTGTAACAGTTGGGTCATTTGTAGAAGGTAAAGCAAACTTTACTTTGACAGATTCACCAAAGATGAAGTGTTTACGGATTGTAGTCACACAGAGTCAAAATGAATGGCTCTTTTTAAGGGAGATAGACGTTTGGGAGAAGACGTGATAAGAGTATCTGAATTGCCACTCTCTAGTCGAATTGTGTAGTGTAACTAAAAAAATTAAAGGGCACTTAGATTCATTAGAGAGATGTACGTCTGTGAATCTGATCCCCTCGTCCCCGATGAATTAAGTATTTATTTAAAAGGGATAAGTTTCTAAAGAAACTTTGGTGCCGAGTCGGTGGAAGAGTATAGCAGGATAATTTAGTATTATCAACTGAGTTTATAGCGTAAATTGGCCACCGTAAAGAGTTTAAAAGCTGACGTTTCGAGCGTTAGCCCTTTGTCAGAGCGATTGATGAAGGGCTAACGCTCGAAACGTCGGCTTTTAAACTCTTTACGGTGGCCAATTTACGCTACAAACTCAGTTGATAATACTAAATTACAAAGTAATTAACTTTGTCATTCTTATCATCCTCTCTGTCATCAAAATTTGGCTTCCTAAATAACTGATCCCCATTTTCACTTCGCAAAAGCCACGACGGGTGACAGAAACCTCCTCTTCCCCCAGTGAGGAAACCATATTGCCCTTGTCGGTATGCTCTGAACGCATTCTGCGGTTTATCGTTGATAGAATTCGATAATAAATGTAAAACATCCAAAGGCAATCAGTCGTTGGAATCAGTCAGAATGTTACCAACCGTGCTGCCGCCCAATCTAGATTATATGGTGAAATGTTTGGGGGAGTACAAATGTGAGATTTTTTATCGACAGCTAAGTACTGGGAAAATGTGTGGGCAACGATGTAGATTCTGCTTGTTGGTTTACAGACAAAGAACAGAAAACAATTTCAGTATTTATAGAGAAGATTTTTCAATGATTTTGAAATCTCAGTTTCATATACGACTATGCCTTTTCCTTACAATTCTTTAGGTACTACAGACGGTTTAATTTATTCAGCCAATAATGAGAGGCAACGTAAGTCAAGAAATTTCATATAGAAAATGCCCGTAACGACATCATATTCCGTCACTATGACATCACACTGCCCTTGTCATTAAAAAAAAATGTACAACATTCTGTTCAAATCTGGAATTATTACTCGGATCTGAAATAAAACAACATCATGTAATGATGAAAATTAATAATACTACCCTGCTAAAAACATTCCTTATCCTCCCTATTGTTAGTACATTTATTATACAAGTAACTTAAGAGTGAGTCGGAAAATTGTTTCTTGTCTAGATTTGTGCATCGAATTCTTGTCGCTTTGAATTTTAACATCCGGCCCAGCTATTCTGTTCTTCCTACTCTCTCTCATAATCAACGCTCATTTTGTGAATTTATGGGGAAACCAAAATGAAAAATGATTCCCCTTTTCCCGTTTTTCACAACTTTTTTGGAAAAAATAGCGTCCGTTTTCGATTTAAATATTTATCGGTTTGGACAAACTTTCCTACCAACAATAAATTAAATTGCAACGAGAAAAATTACAAGCGATATATACAGTGCCTAGTTACAGGTTATCAGTTGACTTTTACAGGACTAGGGGAGTGGAAGGCGCGCAGTTGTTCAGATCTCGCATAAAATTCCTACGGTAGACGATATTTTTGTCAACGAAAAGGCATTCTTACAGAACACCAAAGAACGAATTCAAAAGAGTTTACTTAACTCTTCAATGCTGCAAGAAATCCATGAGATCCGCTCGATGTGCGTTTTCAAATGCTTCTGCAAGTCTTTTTGAGATCATGTTTTGACAATCTGCGCATTTAAAGGAGCACTTGTTGTTATCCAACCAGAGTTTCAACATTCCACTCGCCTGGACACGAAGCAAGCTGGAGTCTTCGAGACGTCGAAGGTCACAACCTCTGACACCAAGATCAACAGCAACGGGCCTCCAATTAACACTCAACCTCGTGGAGAGCTCGGGAATAAGTTGCCTTATCGACGGAAACGATTCGCCAAGTTCCGGTTCTCCTGCAGTCTCACACGTTGGAATTGATTCTTTTTCGGTAGCTTCTTCCTCAGACACGCCATCAGAAACCTGGATGGGACTTGGTAATGCGTCGCGATCAGAATCTTTCCGATGTGCATTAGCACCTGTATCTTGCGATGTTTCTTCTATGCTGAGGGGTGGCTCGGTACCTTCGTTGTCTTGTGCAGGTAGTTTTGTTTCACAGTATTTACAATTCGAGCAAGGATGGGCAACAAGACGAGTCCCAGGTACAACTTGCTCTGTTGAACTAGTTTGAGATACTTCACGAGAAAGCCTTTCGTGAGACACCCAGAAGGACTCTTCAGTTGGGTAGCTGAGCCCAGAAGCTGAACTTGCGCTCTCAAAACGAGGTCGTAAGTTTCCTCCAGTGAAACTGCCTCCTGAGGAAGAAAATCCACTACTAGACCTCACTTTTTCCACATCAAAGTGAAGACTATTCTCCGATGCACCGCTTTCTTTTCTGTCGGGGGAGTCAAAGCTTTGTTGAGGACTGGCCCGTGGAAGCGGGTTCCTTATCCCGTTAACACTTGTTTTGTTTACTAAGGAAGGACTTCCCTCAGAGGCACTACTCCCTTCTGTACTCCTTGTTCGTACTTCAGAATGTTCGGACGCTCCACTTGTCCAACGACTGCGTGAACCAATGGAATAGCTTCTCTCGGAAGCGCTGCTTTCACCTCTAGTTCTGTCCAGTGCATTAATGTCTTGAGCGCTGTGAACGTTGGCAAGCCACTGACTAACAATTGTAGCAGCTTGGAATTGGTTGACACGCTCAAAAGCTTGAATCAAGTCATCTGTACACAGATCACGTTCAAAGGCACAGCGTGAGAGGTACCGATCTGTTTTACTTCCCGGAATAACGCTAGTGAAACCTGAAACAAAGAAATTAGGACAAAGAATCAACTTACTGTCCCAAGAACGACCTGCTGTTTGGAAGTGCCAGTCGTAATAAAAGCACCTGTTATTGTTTGGGCCAATTTAACATGCGATTAGATATAAGCTGAGTTGGCAATCGGTTCGACTCGGAAGTTTACATCTGCTAAGTTTGTCGAAACATCAGCCACCGCTACCGACAAGAGTCCTGCTCAGTTCTACTCTCGCCCGGACGATAAAACCACACTATTAACTGTTACCTTATAGTTCAAACCATTTACTGAATTAGTTCACATGTCGAGTAGGTATAGATTTTTTTTTATCTTCGGGAAAGGGTGATGGAAGAGGGGAATGGGTTGCTGCTGAAAATGTCTACTCACGAAAACTAACGAGTTTCTCGCTAGTTTTCATCGTTAATTAGCAAAAAAATCTGCACCAGAGTTGCATAGTTGTAGTATTACTGTGACACGTCATTCTCAAATAGTCACGTATTCTGTTTTTAAAACAGTATGAAAGTTAAGGAAAATTGTTTAAATTAAAGTGAAAACTACTCTATCAGTGAAGTGGAAAAATATAAACATGATAACTCAATCCAGAAAACCAACACATACACCAGCAACAACAACAACAAAACAAACGATCCAAACAGGACGTGTCACTACCGTGGTGCATGACATGTTCTGTTTGGATGTTTCGTTCTTTGTTCGTTTCGTTGTACGTTCTCTTTGATTGTTATAATCTACACTATTCTAACTCAACACCAGATGGATTGATGTATTTAAAATATACATTGTTAGCCCTCTCACTTCTATTCGAGCGCTAAATAACAACTCTCTCTGCGATACACTACCAGATTCACTATCCTCGTGTTCCACGGGCACTTTCAGATGGTTTGACAACAGTTGTAAGTGATCAGATTCAATATTGGAGTCCAGTATCTTGGATAATGCCTTTCTTTCCCTCAGCGGGAAGTGACTTATGTGATCACACGGGTGCGAGTACCGTCTGATTCCGCAGTATCGCACATCAATCGCCCTTTCGTTTACTGCATATGTTTCTAGCGTAAGTCTGGCATTTGGACCACCTTTCTTGAGCGCCTCGTCCACTTCTTTCAAAGGGTAACCCTCAAATTCTTTGCGTTTCAGCACCTCGATGCTCATGGCTTTCTCAACAAACTCGATCCCCCCGGCAACCTCGTCGAGTAGATCATCCCTGAGTCTCTCGATGTACGTCAGGGAGTAGTAACAACGCTCCTCGCATCCTTTAGGCGCCCACACACAGACATTCACCGCTTTTAGGTTAGATGAAAGTGTGGCAAGGATCTCCACCGTGTCATCTGCGATTTTGATGCCGCGACTCCAAACTGGGCTTTTGTGTCCAAAGCGTTTCAACAAACGGATCTGGAATTTTGGGAAGAAGCTGTTAGGAAGAGCATCCGTTTTGTTCTTGCACTCGACAATACGGCCAACAACACAACGATCGCTGTCACTTCTACCGAACTTCGTTGGCCATAAATCGTCCAGATTGCGATTCGTTTCCAGGTGACTAGGGAAGAGGTAGTTTTCACAAACAAGATTTTCTTCATCCCATGGGAGACACACTTCAAATCGTACCAACAGCTCTATAAGCTGTTTCAAAGGGCATTCACGAAAGGTGGCTTCCAGATCGGATTTTTCAACCATTCCAGAGACTCTGTCGAATCGGAGAGAACGCGGGAAGTTGGCGGGAGCCAAGGCGATTCCAAAAATATGAGATGTCAACCAATTGACGTCAAGGACGACTTTGTCACGAAGCAAAGGGGAAGTGTCACTCACGATCTGAAAATTGGAGAGCAAGCACGTAGATCAGGAAATGAAAGAGAGTTTACTAAGCTTTCCTAGATCTTTAACAAAGGCAAATTTTGTCTTACGATTCAAAATTTCCGAAAAGTGCACATCAGAATGTACATTTCTAATGCATTTGTTTTTGTAAATTGTAGCGGTTGCGAAAAATTCTGTTACCTCGACACTTTCATTCAGATAGAAAGCGATATTTCTGACTCCTTCTTCGTCAGCAGTATTGTTGATCTCTCGCACTTTGGCAACAAAATCCAGCCAGGACATAACAGGAAACGATTTTCTCTCCTTTGCCCACGTACGAATGTCAGGCAATAGCTGTGCACATAGGCGAGGCACTCGATCAGAGTTCTGCGAGGAAATCAAGTATTATGAGAAACTGTATACTTCTAAACTTACATGTAAACGGGTCTCCATAATTTCACTTTTACGCTTAAAATGATTGTTACAGGAACATTGACATATAGGTAGAAGAGACCGTGTATTTGCTTACAAAGCTTCAAGAGTAAATGCTGTACGAAATACAAACAGAACAGTGGAGTCCTCGAGATACATACTTTACACCGGAAAATAGGAAAATAGAAAAGCTATTTGTTTAGAAGCGCAACAAGAAAGGTAATAAAGCCACATGTGCAGGTACCAAGTAAGAACTACAATGTAGCAATACATTTCCTTAAAAATCCTCCGAATTGCCCATCAACAACTCTTAATTATCTGCGTCTTTTTGAGTATTAGTTTATTGGTAAACTCATTTAAGAGCTGATCTGATGTCTTTAAGAGAGCATCGGAGAGGTGAGATGATCAAAACAGCCAATCACAGCAAAAAGCAGAGACACAAAGAATCGTTCAGTAGTTGTCAAGATATTGAATACCAGTGACTTTTCTTTGTCTATTTTCTAGAAGTTTCCTGTGTTCCTCAAAGGCCTTCCCCCGATTTGCCACACCCTTTACAGTATGGCATCGTTGATGGTGTGAGATTAGTTTCGCTGATGGAGCAAGAAAACTAATAAGACACTTTTAAGGTAACTTTAACATCGCCATGGGACAAGCATTTCCCAGTTAGCTTGCAGAAAATACTAGAGCCCTGGAAAAAGTATTCATATGTTCCTAGAAAGTTAAGAAAAAGAGGAACTTACCTTGATTATCTTGTCACGAAGCTCCTTAAGGCAATCGCGCAACGACTCGAAATCATGATCATTAGGATTAGTGCAATCCAAGACCATCACTTTACGATAGAAATTCAGGTAAGCTTGAAAGCATTCCTTTGCCTTCCTAAAATAGGCATTTGCTCGAAGTTGCGGTTCAGTACCCAGTTCTACCTTGTCAATGTGTGTCGCAATCAACACGACTTCTGGACGAAAACGAAGTACGCCAACCTTTGTCTCCCTGGCCTTCAACGAACCCAGGTGATGGAACAAATCCTTTTTGATTTCCTCGTCTGCTTTACTCAAGTCAAACAAGACCAAAGATATGGACGTCCTCTTGCCAATAAAGTACTCATTGCTTGTGAAAGCCCAAGCGTGACCCGCCATGTCCATTTTACGGAACTCACCGACCCCAGGAACTTTAATGATCCCCACTCCAATCCCAGCAGTTCTTGAAGACATATCTTGGCTCGTGTCCGGTTCATTTCGCCTGTTCAGTCGTCGCTGCACGAAATTCATTTGCAGTTTTGCAATGAGAGTTGTTTTCCCTGCATTGACGGCGCCGCATACATTAAGGGTAACGTAAGTGGGCGGATCAGAGCCATCTTTAAGAAGAGAACAGCGCACCTTATGACTCTGAAAAAAATAAAAGGAAAAAAAAACTCTTTACTTCCAAACCAGGTTTTCGAGTTCGATTTACATGTGCTTCGGAATTCGCAAAACATACCTGTATCAGCTTCACAATACGAGAATGATTATTTCTTGTGGCCCAGTACTCAGCATCCCAGACCTGTCAATCAAAAACATCTTTAAATGACAGCTATTAAGCACTTAGTTCAAGTTCCTCATCAAAGACTGAAATCATATCATTCTGTGTCACACAGTCATAATTAGGTAGATGGCACTTTCTTGATTTTGCATTTCAGTTTTTTGTTTAATTGTTTTAATCTGCCTTTGTGTTCTTTCACCTCAGCAAAAATGGATTACTAGGGAAGTCATTTTAACCAAAACACGAGAGAAACAATAGAGAGTGTAAAAAATGACTTTAAAGAAATTGACAAATGAATACCTTATCTCCAAGTCTTGAAGTAGCATTTACATCTGCCCCAGCCTCCAAAAGAACTGAGCAGGCATCTTCATGACCACCTTTGACAGCACGGATCAGTGCTGTGAAACGGTACTAGGGTTTAACAGTGAAAAATAGTTTAGTATAAAAATCAACATACACTGAAAATACTGAAACAGATTCAAGTGGCAGGATTGCTTTGTAAAAAGTTTAAGCATCCTATTGCTGAGGAGAAAACATTTTAAAAATGAGATTGAAAAGTTCATTTAATATCCTTGCAACATGGAGACATGAACCCTTACTTCAAGATAAAATCTTGGAACAACCTTTTCATGTCATGCCTCCTTAACTCTGCTGAGTCTGCAAATTGCTGCACATACCTTATCCTGAAGATCAACCTTTGCTCCACATTTCAAAAGATGTTTACAGGTCTTTGAATGGCCATTATGAGCTGCCCACATAAGTGGTGTCTCACCATCCTAAAACACATACCAATGCTTATCAATTTTGTTTATCCGTGTTTACTATAAAATAATGAATATGATCAATTATCAACAATCATAAAGATCTGCAACTACTGGACAATAGATACTGTAAATTAAGGCATAGGGTGAAATATGGACTGGAACATTGGACACTTGGACTATTTTTTGGACCACTTTTTTGAACCTTTTTTTTGGTCCACTTTTTGGATCATTTTATTGGGGGGGGAGGAAGACCATCAGAAGTCAGGGAGGGGTTGGATGCAGTTTAACAGTACTCTGGGAGGGGTGGGAGGCAGACTGTTATTACTTGGGGAGGGGTGGAAGATGAGCTATTAGTATGCAGGGAGGGGTGTGAGGTGGTTGTATTAGTAAATGCTACTGATTGATGGACTTTTTACTGGACCATATTTTACTCTATGCCCTCATCTTTAACTTACTGATAAAAACCTATTTTGATTGATTGTATTAGTAATCAATTGAAAACAGCCAATCAGAGGAAAGAAAAGTCGCTTGAGGGCCCAGAGTAAAACCAAGCAAACTGGTAACAGTGCATAAAAATGTCAGTGACAAAGTTGCTGTTGTTTTTACTTTTGGACCTGATTGGTTTAAATGAAAGTGTAATTTTTTTCTGAATCAACCACATAGCAGAGAAAAAAAACAAAAACAACCCCAAAATTGTTTGCAAAACTCAAATTATTGAAAATTGCTCTCTGTAGTTACCTTTAACTTAATATGGTGATTAATTGCAACTGATCTCAATTACCCTTATGATCTTGCGTAGGGGGAGGGGAGGGGAGTGTAGGGGGCTGAAGAGGGTTTACAAAGTGATCAATCAATTGAGCTATTAATTATCTATTCATTTTTCTTTTATCACTTGCCAGAAAACGTCATATCAATAACCATCAAGGTAACACACCAAAAATTAAGTTAAGATTGGTAAGCATTTTTTTTTAGGTTCCCTCACAGTAGAAACAGAATGAACAACTTCATGACAGATAATTAACAGTTAACAAAAAGATTCTACCCTTAACAACAAAGGATGAAAATGATACTGCAGAAAGTAATTCCAAACAAAACAGTTGGAACATTGCATTGAATTTATATCATTCACCGTTGTTTGATTGTTCACATTGGCTCCATTACTAAATAACAGCTGGCATACATCTGTTTTTCCATATCGGGCAGCTAATGTCAATGCAGTGTATTGACTCTGAAAAGCAATTGAAGAATTACTTTGATTACATAAATTATAACTGCATGGTTATAAGTTTCAAGGCTAAATAGACAGCTTGGGCTGGCCCATTTGTTCTTCACTCCCTCAGAATAACCTTTGGAAAATAATTATGTCTGTTTCAGTGGTGGACAAAAATTATCTGTTTCAGTGGCTTGCCATAGTATTATTAGAATATTGCTTTAGAGATTCCCTTTGTGTAGAATGTCAGCCAGTCCTGAAATGCAAGGTTATGTAATTGCCGACAATGCTTTGATTCAGTCAAGCTTCAAATTCTTGCCTGTTTTCTGATATTATCATACTAAAATATGACATAATATCATAACTATGTAATAATTATGATGGAGTCTCCCATTGATTTTGATGTATAATATATGATCCAACAAAATGTTCAGTTTGAATGTTTGAAAGGATTACCAGTTAAATATACATACCTTTGTAAATGCATCAACTTTGGCACCATTTTCCAAATACAGTTTACACACTGCAGTCATTCCACTTTTAGCTGCCTGCATCAATGGGGTCCTAAACCACTAAGAAAAGCATAGAAAGCAGTATTCAATCTACTGTAACAGAGTCTGAAAATTTGACTTTGTAGCCATCACCTGTGAGACTGAAAGCTTACTATTGGGGGTCCTAATCCTTAAATGCCAAGTTAAAGTCTTTTCAATTTTCTTCTTGAAAATCAGCACTCAAGACAGGAAATTTCAGCTCTGTAGACTGTAATCTAATCACTTTTACACAATCAACTGAGGATTTCATGAACAGAAAAAAATTTATGATTTCAGTGAAAAAAAATGTCAAAAGTTTATAAATTTGAATTTTTATTAACAAATTGATGTTTCACCTGGTCATTGAATAAGAAATGTTTGATCACCACTGATAACACCTTAAACTCCCAAGATATTATGAGTGAATTTCTCCTTACTGTCTACCACACAATTCAAATATCTTAGTTCAGGGAATTTGGTATTAGATCAACCTAAGTAATTGGTTGATTCATATTTGTCTTTATTCTCACTACTTGCCTACTTGGTAGTGTATTGATATTGTAAGGAGAAATTCTCTCTTGGTCACTCATGGGAATTAAAGGGTTATATGCACCGCTAAGTGACAAGTAATTTGTAAACAAGCAAATTAATACAACTATATAAAAGAAAAAAAGGCCAAATAATGTAAAAGTATACCAATTGTGCTACATAACGAAAGCAACTTTTAGTGGGGAATAGCCTGAACTTTATCCCGTGATACTATTAATAGCATGCCAGTAACTGCAGAGTCACAAAAACAGGTTTTTCAGGGGAAAGGGGGAGGGGTAGACGGTTATACAATATTATGCTTACCAATTCTGAACCTGCTTTCCAGTTCACATCTGCTCCTCTATCAACCAATTCTGAACATTTTTCAACATCCCCTTTCTCCCCAGCATAGAACAGCTGCTCACTTAGGGACTTTCCCTGTCACAAATATCAGAATATTCTTTTGATTCAAGAGAAATTAATCATCAATTCTATACATCGCATTTGCCTCTTAAAAAAATAGATGTCATTTGACACTTTGGGTTATGTTCCCATGTATGTACATATACATAGGAAAAATAAAGTCCAACTCCCCTTAATTTCTCAACCCTTGCTTTTTATAATTTTTTCAATTATCTCTACTGCCATTTGCAAAGCTGAAGTTATCATCACTTTGTCGGGCATTGAGGTACATTTCCTAGGCTAAAATGCAGATTTTAGAAAGCTCAAATGTATTTTGGTCCACTGACCCACGCTCGCACAATTGTTCAGACTGCTTTATTGACTTGTTCCATATTTCATTTTCTCAATGCCCTCCAAATTGATATTAATTAATAATCAATATAGTTCATGTTCTGTTTTTAGAACGTGGTTGTGCCCGCGAAAATAAACTATTTGTTTTATTAGAGTATTACAGATATAATTCCCAAGCGTGAATCGGCTGGGGCGCCCATCGAGAACTTTCACTGCCACATTTGTTAACAATAGTTTCTGATACGGACAATGCTCGCTTAAATTATCCTTAACATGGGTATATCTCAGCAACGCAGTACGTTCGAATTTGCACGTGCACACGTGCAAATTCGATCTAAATACACTTTAAAGCTTAAACAAAACATTGCTGTTACTGATCTACTTTTAATTCTCCTGATGCATATAAACAGGAATCATGTAACATTTAAAACTATTACAATTTGAGCTGACTCGTTGAAGAGTTTGCTCTTTTCAGTGTTACTCACTGGGCTTATAATTAATTTTCAACTGCGAAAAATTCTCATATATGGCAGACAAATACATAGCAACTTGATACATTTATACGAAGCAGCAACAATCCCGACCAACAACCACGACCAATAACTACTTGCCTCATCGGCGTCCTCTGACCTCTTGCTGGCTTCTTGCTTTTTGAACTCAGACTCCATGTTTTGGATTCGTCTGTGGCAAGTTTCTGCGCTATCGGAGCTCCATCAAACAGAGCATTTGAGTAAACCCAAAGGTCACAAACTGTCAGACACCATTTGGAAGATTCTACTGAAAATCCTAACTGAAGGCGTGCCTTGTCAATTAATGAAGGTGAGATGATGTCGAAATCTATATTTAGACCGGTGATTCTCGTTTCGATTTCTCGCTCTTTCGGTTCTGATCGTAATTCCCCTACTAAATTATTTATTGTTATTTTCAGAAACGTCGAGGGCACCTACTTTCTCGGAATTTTGAGTTGAAATATTCAATTCAGGAAGTGCTTCCACAGCTTTCAAACATTACCGACCCCCTCCCCGATAGGTTTTATTCAGGGTCAAGCGTTACCATAGTGACCAAAGTGTTTTGTCCCTCAATATGGCGGCCTCCATTTCAAAAGCTAGACTTCTGCCTTAAATCTCCTGATAAACCAAGATCTTTTCCATCAAAACGACATTTAAGCAACTTTTAATTCACGTCAAGGCAATTACAATGTCAGCTGCAAATGCTACTTCAGGTTTTATATTGGGTGCAGGATTTTCCAGCCAATGTTTCCCCGTGAGAAGTTTGACACGATATAAACGACAGGACGATGATGGTAAAACCTTTTTATAGTTCAGATAAGAAATTAGCGACGCGGAAACGCTGTAGATTATCTTTCCTCGATGGGTCAATGCGCTGTACTGGGTTTGCGTTCGGTTGGCCGGATTTTGCAGCTCTGCCGTCACAAACGAATCCATACCGTACAGAGTTGACTTTTAGAGTGTACTTCCACATGATTTTGTGATATCTGCAATGCATGTTCAGTTATTCCTTTCTTAAACATAATGGTCATTATTTAATGGAAAATAAGCATAAAGGGAGAATATGTACGTGATAAGCAATCAAGTTTGTTACAATGAAGTTATCCTGTCTTTTCTGGCAGTGAGAATGCGATATTTTGTAAAAATAGGTTAAAGGTAGAAAAAAAAATAATAAAAAAACGGCAGTGAAAGAACAATTCAGTACATCTGAAGTGCATAAAAATGTACACTTTTTTCCCAGTGAATGAGTTACAACAAATTTTCAACCAAATGCACAGTGAATTTTCTCAAGACAACATTGATACCTTGTAATGAATCAGAGTCTGTAACTAGAAAGATAGAAATGAGTTAGAGTATAAAATGATAACCATAGCAGTTTCTTATCAGCCTTTTGGCTTGTATCTTCAAGGAGGAGCTTGGCTTGTTGCTTACCGAGCGGAGCAAAGAAGGAGATTCAAGGCTGTAATTTGTGGTGGGGATCCCATCATACAAAGGCAGTCTTCAGTAACAAAGTTGCAGAGCGATGATACAGACTCTATAGAAGAGGAGAGACCACAGAAACTAGATGGTTTCTTTT